ATGGGTCTTCAAAGCGAAGACAGATCAAAATGGCAAGATAGTCAGACACAAAGCCAGATTGGTAGCCAGAGGTTTTGCACAGGTACCAGGTCAAGACTATCACGAGACCTATTCACCCACAGTGAGATATGAAAGCATTAGGCTTATGCTTAAGCTAGCTGCAGAAGAAAATCTACACATTAGTCACCATGATATTAATACAGCTTTTCTGTACGGATCTCTAGATGAATCACTTTATATGCTTCCACCTGATGGCGTACAGGTAAAACAGGGATTCGTTTGTGCTCTGAAGAAATCCCTTTATGGTCTCAAACAAAGTGCACGGTGTTGGCACACAAAACTCACTGAAGTATTGTTTTCTCTAGGTTTTCAGCAAGGGAAAGCTGATCCATGTGTATTTGTCAAAGAGGAGGGGCAAAAGAAACTGTACTGTTTGTTTTATGTTGATGATTTATTATTCTTTTGGAAAGATGTCGCAATGTACAATAACGCCCTAGCTCAACTGAAAGAGCACTTTGACATGAAAGATCTTGGTGAGGTAAACAACTACCTATCTCTGGAAATAGAGAGAGATCAAGATGGTAACATTCTAGTACACCAGTCACGGAAAATTGCTGATGTGTTAAGCAAACTAAATCTGATGGATGCTAACCCTGTAGACACACCGATGACAACAGGTTATCAGGTAGATGACACTGAAGAAGCATTTTCTGACACTACACTGTACAGGAGTGTGCTAGGCAAGCTAAACTTCATTGCCAGATGTTCAAGACCAGACATTGCTATTAGCTGTAATTTGCTAAGCAGACAAGTCAACAATCCTAGTGTCAAGGATTGGAAAGCTCTGAAACGCATAGCGCGGTATTTGAAAGGCACTATGCATTACAGACTGAGATTTAACAATCAGAAGTCTGGTGGTCTTGAGATATTTGCAGATGCAAGTTTTGGAAGTGACGCTACAGACAGGAAAAGTACGTCTGGAGTTTGCTACATGTACAATCAGGGTCTTTTTGATTGGTCATGCAAGAAGCAAACAACAGTTAGCTTAAGTACTTGTGAAGCCGAACTGAATGCACTGTCTTATTCACTTAAGGATTGTGAATGGTTAGTACAATTGTGCAAAGATATGAAAATTCCTGTCAAATGTCCAATCCAGGTTTACCAGGACAACAAAGCATGTTTGGCTTTGCTGAAATCTGAAGGTTGTAAGCAAAGCACAAAGCACTTGCAATTAAAGTTGCAGCATGCTAGGGAATGTATTCAGAAGGGACTCGTAACGGTGTCCTATATGCCAGGTAATGAAATTCCTGCTGATGTATTGTCCAGGATTGTATCAAGGGATCAACACTGTACCTATGTGCAGAAGTTGGGTTTGTACTGATACTGTACGAACACGCTGCCCAGTGATGTTCACAGAAAGGGGAGGATGTTGGTTTCTGCTTTCCTTCACTGTGCAGCTCTGCTTGTCATGAGACAGGTGTTTACATTCCACAGTCTGTACTGTTGGAGTTTCTCACGGGAAAGGGAGACTGGATGTGACGTACACTGGTTTCCTGTTTTTTTCACTGTGTGATTCTCTCCGAGCTGAGAGAGGAGAGAGGATGCATTTTCTGCTCTTGCAGAGGCAAGATGTCTTTCTGTAATATACCAGCTTTGAACTGTAAATAAAGCAATATAGAGTATGCGGCACATTTTCCTCATCCTTCCGTTGGCAACAAGACTCTGCTTAAATCAACAGTTGGCAGGAGCAGGGACCGAGCAACGGGAGCTCACCCCGTCGCAGGGATTCGAACCGCCGACCTTCTGATCGGCAAGTCCTAGGCTCTGTGGTTTAACCCACAGCGCCACCCGCGTCCCTGTTCTGGTGGCAGTTCCATTGTTTTTCTCTCGCCCTCCTTTATCCAAGGCTGTAAGTAAGAGCAGCAGCAACTGTGTTGACATGACAGCTTGGGAACCATTTTCTAACCTAATGCATCAGACCTAGTATCATTCTAGGGCATTGTGGGTAAAAATGGGAAGCCATTGCAAATATATAGATATGATGGTGAATATTTGGAGGAAAATCTGCAAAGTGGTCTTTCCTTGGGTGGGGGAGGAGAAAAGCAAATATATTTTGTCCACCCCCCACCCCCAAATTATGGTGAGACATTTTGGCTCAGCTCTGCTTCCTACAATCTTCAGCACCCTAGTAAGAATGTTACCCGCCCCCAGCCCTGTGCAATGCCCTAAAAGTGTTTGGAAAGCCTGGCACCCTCCAATTGCTGTTGGACTACAGCTCCCATCAGCCCCAACCAGTTCACCTGCTCGTGGCAGGAGCTGATGGGAGTTGTAGTCCAACGACGCTGGAGGACACCAGGTTGGCGAATCCTGTGCTGGGAACTGCAAAGGAAGTACTGAGGATGAAGAATTCAAAGCAGGGGGTAGGATGGAAGCTGCTTGTTGCTCAGAATCATAGAACTGGAGAGTTGGAAAGGATCGCAGGGGTCATCTAGTCCAACCCCCTGCAATGCAGAAATCTTTTGCCCAGTATGGTACTCGAACCCACAACCCAAAGATTAAGACTCTCATTCTCTACTGGAGAAAGCTATTTTTGGCCTGTTGTTGTTGTTGGCCTCCATCTGTCAAGTGACAATAGAGTGCGCTTCGGGGGGGGGGTTGAGGTCCAACCACTGAGTTAGCAGCTGTGAAATGACAGGGCAAAGGGTGTATGGGCAGGCCCAGACCGGGGGGGGGGGGGGTCATATGGGCCACTTGGCCCGGGCCTCCGATTCCAAAGGAGTCTTCGGTCAGCATATTCACAATCATTTTGTCTTTATATGCAGATACGGTTCAAGCCTTGAAATAAAATTATTTATCAGCATAACTTTTGTGAAAATTATTTATATAAAGGTAAAAGGACCCCTGACCATTAGGTCCAGTCGTGACCGACTCTGGGGTTGCGGCGCTCATCTCGCTTTATTGGCTGAGGGAGCCGGCATATAGCTTCCAGGTCATGTGGCCAGCATGACTAAGCCGCTTCTGACGAACCAGAGCAGCGCACGGAAACGCTGTTTACCTTCCCGCCGGAGGGGTACCTATTTATCTACTTGCACTTTGACATGCTTTCAAACTGCTAGGTTGGCAGGAGCAGGGACCGAACAACGGGAGCTCACCCCGTCGTGGGGATTCAAACCTCCGACCTTCTGATCGGCAAGTCCTAGGCTCTGTGATTTAACCCACAGCACCACCCACGTCCCTTTTATATAAAGGTAAAGGGACCCCTGACTATTAGGTCCAGTCGTGACCGACTCTGGGGTTGCAATTTATTTATAAATTTATAAATATAAAGTATATAAATATAAATGTATATAAGTATAAATAAATAAATTTATTTATATACTTACTTACTTACTTATTTATTTATAAGACTTCAGTTGTCCCATGGGTTAAAAAAAGGGGGGGCACATTATCTACCTGGACTGGGCCTCTGCCTGGCTCTGCAAGGCCTTGTGTATGGCAGTCCTGTGCCCAAAGGACAGCAGAGCAATTAATTGGCACCAGCTTGGCTGCAGGAGTCTCTGGAAAGAGACGTGATCTGAGCCAAACGGAGTGAAAGGGAGCCCGGGAAGCAGGGCAGCCGCTCCTCTTCCCACCAATGCTCCGCTTTGCCTTCTCCCTGCCTGCCTGCAGCTTCCACCACCAGCTTTTGGCACAACCGAGGTGGGCTCCTTCCTCTCTCCCCCCTCACCCCCCCCCCCGAGCACCGCAGGTACCAGAAGCATCATGACGCAGCCGGATTGGCTGCAGAGCATCCTCCGAGACGCCTCTGCTGCGGCGATTGGTTAATATGTTAGGGAGGACCCGGGCTGCTGCTTTTTTTGGCATCCCTGCGCAAGGAGGATGGGAGGAAGGGCGCCGCCGCCCGCCTGGGAACCGTGCACGCGATGCGGATTCCCTGTTACAGAGCGACTTTCCCGCAAGCGAGTAGTAAAAGGCCTCCTCGCTTGCCTGGGGCCTTGCCAGAGCCAATGAGCAATGCAAGGCGCATTGATTCGTTTCCAACAGGCTAGGAGAACGCGCCGGGTTTCTGAATAATGCGCGGAGTGAATTGCTCAAAAGGTGGCCAACGCAGCGTCTTAGGGAGGCTTGGAGGAGGTCATTTGGGCTTAAACCCCCCCCCCCACGATCCTTTGTCGGATGCAGCCTCAGATCCTTCCCAAAGCATTCCCCAAACACATTCTTCCATCTCACAACAGTGCCTTCCAGGTTGTTACCCTCCTTGATTCCCCCTGTCTTTCCCTCGCTGATTAAATGCTTCTTGCAATTTGTCCTGAGTCTATGTAGTTGTGTAGGGTGTAGAAATGGCAAGGGGCCATCTTAATGAATTGATTTTTAATATTTGATTCCTCCACTCCACCCCCATCCTCCGCTGTATGAGTTGCTGGAAAATAAGACACACACACACTTACACACACACACACACCAGCTATCTGAGTACAAATTGGTAGGCTTCCGCCATAGTCTTTCTTTGTGTATATGTGTGTTTGGAGGAGGGGGGTAGTGTTCACACACACAAAAATCAGAAATAAATTTTAACTTTTTATTACAATTGCTTTCCCTTGCTTTCCAGAACTGTAACAGTATTGGTCCATTGTACTTTTAAAAATTTAAAAAAAAAAAAATTCTGTACAGTGGTACCTCGGGTTAAGTACTTAATTCGTTCCGGATGTCCGTTCTTAACCTGAAACTGTTCTTAACCTGAAGCACCACTTTAGCTAATGGCTGCCGGAGCACGATTTCTGTTCTCATCCTGAAGCAAAGTTCTGAACCTGAGGTACTATTTCTGGGTTAGCAGAGTCTGTAACCTGAAGCGTCTGTAACCCGAGGTACCACTGTATACTTATTTGAGAATATAAGGAGGCCTTCTTCTGATTAGACCTGCATAGGGAATTGTGATTTCCAGTCTGATGTAGCCTTGGTGAAAACTGAAGCAGAGCAGGCTTTAGTTCAGACATACAGGTCTACCTGTGGCACATCATGACTTGGGTTGTCATGCATCTGATGGAGGGGTCCAGGCATCTTGCACAGGCAAGAGATCTGCCATCTGCAGATGGTTCAGTCCAGGGGATCACGACAATCCCAGGCCATATTGTACCTTTCTGCATCAGCAGCATCTTCTGCACGTTTGGCTTTGAGCTGCACAGTTGAAAGAGAACATGAGCAGGGTCCTCTCTGCACCATCAGACCACAGAGTCGATCTAGTCTGGCATCCTCTTTCCTACGCAGTGGCCAACCTGGTGTCCCCGGGAAGCCCAGAATTAGGACATGGGGAGGGACAAAAGCATAAACCATGCCCCTTAAGAAAATCTGTCTATATTTTCAAATTTTCATAGTTTTATCTGAGGTTCTACCCACTGACTTCCAAAAATCTTACTTGGCTCTCTCTTCGAGTTTCCGAGATTTCACAGTGTGTTGCTATTATACTTTCAAACACAGCTTTAAGGACTAGAAACCTTGCCTTTTAAAAACCAGACAGCAGAGATCACTGCTGAGGAATTGTTACCCACCCAAGAAAATGCAATACTTAGTTGTTAAATAAATCATGAGTTCAGGACACAACTACCATTCCAAGTGATGTACAAAATTCCACCAAAAACATAAAAACCGGGGGGGGGAGGGGCGCTAATTAAAACTGCATCCCACCACCTTAAAACTGAGTAGTAGCAATTAATTTTGCTGCAGCGATTAATAAAACGCTGATTGAACTAAAAATAAAGTTTGATTTGCGTGGGAAGGAGTAAAATACACTTTGATTCCCTGCAAAAGTATGTAGCTTCCAGACTTTCCTCCAGTGCTTTGTCCTACGCACCTCTCAGTCAGGAATAAATGTGTTAGCCCCATCATGTTCTATTTTCGTGCATCTTAAGACACCTTTGGCATCGCCTTGGAATATTCTGTTTGAAGCAAGTGAGAGATACCTGCAACTGCTAAGTTCAGCAAACAGTTAAGGAAATTCACCCGTGAATATTACTGAGAGTGGATTCGCAGAGCTGTTTAGGTTCCCCCATCACCACCACATATCCCAGGTGACTCTTTTTGAGGCATTCATGTGCATCCCAGTAGCCAACATATTTTGCTTGCAATTTGAACAGGCGTTCGTTAGATCTGAATGCTTGCTGGGGCCAAAATAGTGTTGGATTATTGTAGCTCGTGAACTCTTAATGTTGAACGATGCGCAAAACCTCATTCTGTAGGAGAGTGTTTCAAGCATTAAGCAGCTACTAATACTTACAAAGGGATTTTGAATGTGTCAAGTCAATTAAATAACGTTTAAAATGCTAGTTTGGGCAAATGTACTGTGACTGTATTGATTACTAGCATTGCTTGTTCTGTGTTTTTTTGGTTAGTCATGTTTTGAAGGAAATTTTATTATTATGGAATGTGAGTGTGGTAGGTTTGCAGGCTCACACCATGGGCGTAGCCGGTGGGGCAGCTGCCCCCCAATCAAGTAAATCAGTAAAACTACTTAATGAAGCCTGCCCCTCTAACACAGGGCTGGATTTAGGTTTGATGAGGCCCTAAGCTACTGAAGGTAATGGGGCCCTATATATGTCCAGCTGTCCTTTGTCAACAACAAATTGTCGCTCTTTTTTGTGTTGAATATATGCTATATGGTAATTTATGGACCTAATAGGTATCTATTACTTACACCATAGGAGCTTACACAACACAAAATACTGTTGCTGTATGTAGGTTTTATTTTATTTGTTTTTTATCTTATATTTTGGAAATGTACATTGTCGGAGCACAAATGGCGAAGTTTAGCATAAAATTATGACACAGAGAGCCAGCAATATTTTCATGATGGTAGGAGCAGCTCCTCTCGAACTTCCCTCTCCTCCTGCCGTTTCTTTTATTATCCTTCTTTGTCTCTCCCCAGCCGCATGGCTGTTTGCCAGTGTCTCACGTTACCTCATCCGGTCAAGGCTTTTACCCACCCACAAACCATATAAGGTTAATCACTGCCCAGAGGAAACACAGCTCCAATACATTCCAATACATTGTAAAGCTCAGAGTGCTGGTCAGCCAAGGTCAGGGGGCACCCTGCAATATTACAAGCCTTTACCGTGGCTTTATGACTCCCACAGTACATCCAGGGTTTTTTCCCTTGAATTTTTTTTGGGGCCCCCAAGAGAGTGGGGCCCTAAGCTATAGTTTGTTTAGCTTATACATAAATCCGGCACTGCTGTAACATAAATCCTGGCTACGCCCATGCCTCATACCCAACAGGAGTGTTCCTGGTCAGGATTCAAGCTGCCTCATCTTACCCTCCTCTAGGATGCTGTTAGGTTGCAAGGCATTCAAACACACCAATTCGCTCTCCCACACCCTGGTTTTCCAAATGACACTCAACCTTCTGAAGCAACTGAACATGCTCAGGCGTCATTACGGGTTTCTCTGTTTGGGTTGCCTTCAAAACAATAGCATTGATATTTCCATCTGTGCTCATCCAAACATGCCTTCCTCTTGTTTCTCAGTGGCCCAGTTTTGGGCTCCAATTCTATCGGCGTTCAACCACCTGAGTTTGCTATTAGAGGAAACGAGTGGGGCCAGAAAGAAAATGCTAGAGATAGTCTGATATGGTTTCAGCCAACTAGCTAGCTATGGCCTTCCATATTCCATCTCTCGCCCTTATTCTGTTCTCGTTGGTCTGTTGGGATTTAGTCAGTGGAGGCTGGTCTAACAGGGTATATGGGTATATAGGGTATATAGCTCCACCAACCTCAGCCAAACCCTTGACTTTTTACTTACAACCAGTCCAGGAGGTGGCACTGCCTGAAATAATCATCCTCTTTAGCTTCGGTGTTGTCCTTATAGAACTCAGCAGGGAGAAGAATGGGGGCAAATTTGGAATCAATTGGCTCCGTCTGTCATTGGCTGTAGCGCCACCTACTGTTTGTCTCCCTACTTATCACACTACCAGTTAAAGCCCTAAACGGCCTCAGCCCTGTATACCTGAAGGAGCGTCTCCATCCCCATCGTTCTGCCCAGACGCTGAGGTCCAGCTCCGAGGGCCTTCTGGCAGTTCCCTCATTGCGATAAGTGAGGTTACAGGGAACCAGGCAGAGGGCCTTCTCGGTGGTGGCACACACCCTGTGGAATGCCTCCCATCAGATGTCAAGGAGATCAGTAACTATCTGACTTTTAGAAGACATCTGAAGGCAGCCCTGTTTAGGGAAGTTTTTAATGTTTGATGTTTTGTCGTGTTTTTAATATTCTGTTGGGAGCTGCCCAGAGTGGCTGGGGAAACCACTGGTCAACAAAGTAAATAATATATGATGATAATGATGTTTTAAAAAGTGTACTAAAAAGTGCCAACTTCTCTCTCTCTCTCTCTCTCTCTCTCTCTCTCTCTCTCGTTTCTCACTTGGCCCCATTTTGGTTGCAAAACTGTCAGCCCTCACCACCTGAGTTCTCTGTTAGAGAGAATGAATGATGATGCATTTATATCTGGTGCAAGCCTACTTGGAGTGCACTAATTGCAGGAAGTGGATACATAAATAAATCTGACTTGACTAATTGCCTGACTCTCATGAAGATGAATACATGCAGTGATACTGAATCAGACCATTTGTCCATTTACTGTTGTCTATTCTGACAGGCAGTGACTGTCTAGAATCTCTGCCAGATATTTTTCGTACCACCTGATACCTGGGATTTTTCAGCTTGAGATGCCAAAGGCCTTTCAACTAGGCCTATCACCTGATATATATATATATATATTTAAAAGCTGACCAATGGTTTATTTTTTTCTTAATGAATTTATTAAATGTGTACAGATTTGTATATTGATACAAACAATACAAATGAAGCATCATGCTTTTCCCCTTTCTTTTTAGATGATGTGTACATGTGCTTGCTGCAGGGGTGCGGGTGGCGCTGTGGGTTAAACCACAGAGCCTAGGACTTGCCGATCAGAAGGTCGGCGGTTCGAATCCCTGCGACGGGGTGAGCTACCGTTGCTCGGTCCCAGCTCCTGTCCACCTAGCAGTTCGAAAGCACGTCAAAGTGCAAGCAGATAAATAGGTACCGCTCCGGTGGGAAGATAAACGGTGTTTCCATGTGCTGCTCTGGTTCGCCAGAAGCGGCTTAGTCATGCTGGCCACATGACCCAGAAGCTGTACGCCGGCTCCCTCGGCCAATAAAGCGAGATGAGCGCCACAACCCCAGAGTCAGCCACGACTGGACCTAATGGTCAGGGGTCCCTTTACCTTTACCTTACATGTGCTGAAGCTGGTAGCATCTTAAGTAAGGCCTTCTTTCCTTTGTGAGAAAAAAGGGAGAATGCCTCTTTAAGATGGTGCTTGCTATCTGCAACTTGTATAAGCACTTGTAGGAAAGATAATGCATGGTTGGTTGGTTTGAAAAAAGAAAACTACCACTGTTTGATTATAGATTCAAAGCATTTTATAATCTAGCAGATCAAACATTGCAATCCTACTTTTGAAATGGATGAATTGATGTTAATTAAATTTAAAACAAATATTCCCCCCCCTCCAAACATTTATTCAGAAGTTACAATACAGCTTTGTTCACAGCCATAATATCACAGAATGATCACTCCAAAGAAATCTGCTGTTACCCAAGCCTCAGGGCTGGTGCCTTTCCGAGATACTGAAAGAACTGTACCATGACAGTAAGCAAGAGCAACTACAGTGGCACCTCGGGTTACATTCGCTTCAGGTTACATACGCTTCAGGTTACAGACTTCGCTATCCCAGAAATAGCACCTCGGGTTAAGAACTTTGCTTCAGGATGAGAACAGAAATCATGTTCCGGCGGCAGCAGGAGGCCCCATTAGCTAAAGTGGTGCTTCAGGTTAAGAACAGTTTCAGGTTAAGTACAGACCTCCGGAATGAATTAAGTACTTAACCCGAGGTACCACTGTACCTGTATTCGCTGTTAGAAGAAAAGGCCACCTTTACATCAGGACCAGCACAGTCTGAAAAATAAACAAATATGCTCTTCACTCATAATCACACTGATTAAAATTGGTGCCTACTAATTAATGGACAAAAAAATTTGGTTGATGGGATGTTTACTGGCATCCCACCAGCTTTTGAAGATGCACCTGTTAGCGCAAGCATTCCCTTGATCTCTCAGCCCAAGTCTCCCGTTTTAATTACCGTGTTGTTTTAATGGGATGGTTTCAATGCATATTCTAATTACGGATGTTTATATTTCACTGCTTGTGTATGTAGTTGGTTTTCACAGTTATAAACGGTTGGGGAGCCTATTTTAGCATTAAGTGGTATATAAATTAATAATAATAAAAAAAACAGTGAAAGCTGTTGACCCTAATATGCTCCTAAGTGGTGATTTCACTACCCCACCCCGACCCCCACCATCAGTTCTGTGAGGGTCTGAGCACTTACAATATGCACTGGACTTACTTGGTTGTTGTTGTTTAGTCGTTTAGCTGTGTCCGACTCTTCGTGACCCCATGGACCAAAGCATGCCAGGCACTCCTGTCCTCCACTGCCTCCCACAGTTTGGTCAAACTCATGCTGGTAGCTTCGAGAACACTATCCAACCATCTCGTCCTCTGTTGTCCTCTGTCATCCCCTTCTCCTTGTGCCCTCCATCTTTCCCAACATCAGGGTCTTTTCCAGGGAGTCTTCTCTTCTCATGAGATGGCCAAAGTATTGGAGCCTCAGCTTCAGGATCTGTCCTCCCAGTGAGCACTCAGGGCTGATTTCCTTAAGAATGGACTTACTTTGTAGTGGCATGCTAATCTATTCTAGGGCGGTCTGTCATGTTTTGCCACCTGAGGCAAAAAGAGAAATTGCACCCTCCCCTACCAATGCCTACCTTACTGGGGTCACACAGCCGCAGTAGGGGGGTGGCTTCCAGTGAGATCTCATGAAACTCTCGCGAGATCTCGTTGGAAGCCACCGTTGCCATCATGTGACCCCACCGGCAGATGCTTCAGCCCATCTCATGGGTGGGCCAGCACTTGGGAGGCGAAGTGTAGCATGGTATTAACACCCAGATCAATCTGAAGAGGAACAAAATTTCCCGTTTCAAAAAATGTGGGCGCTCCGAAATCCATAGATCAAATTTCAGGGCTGTTTATTCTGTGAGAGCCTGAAGCTTCCTGGGATGGCTCAGTCAGTAGAACATGAGACTGTTAATTTCAGGGTTGTGGGTTCAAGCCCTGTGTTGGGCAAAAGATTCCTGCTGGACTAGATGACCCTCATGATCCCTTCCAACTCTACAATTCTGTGATTCTATGATTGATCAATTACATTTCCACCACTGAACCTTGGGTACACAGGGGTCCTGGGAGCGGGAGGTGCTGTGGTCTAAGCCACGGAGCCTCTTGGGCTTGCCGATCAGAAGGTCGGTGGTTCGAATCCCTGCGAAGGGGTGAGCTCCCATTGCTCTGTCCCAGCTCCTGCCAGCCTAGCAGTTCGAAAGGACACCAGCGCAAGTAGATAAATAGGTACCGCTGTGGCAGGAAGGTAAACAGCGTTTCCATGCACCCTGGTTTCCGTCACGGTGTCCTGTTGCACCAGAAGCGGTTTAGTCATGCTGGCCACATGACCTGGAAAGCTGTCTGTGGACAAACACTGGCTCCCTCAGCCTGAAAGCGAGATGAGCACCACAACCCCAGAGTCGCCTTTGACTGAACTTAACCGTCCAGGGGTCCTTTACCTTTACCTTTTACCGTTATCATTTAACACAGGGGTCCTCGAAGGTCTACCACCCAGGCAGAGACAAAATTCCAGACCTCCTTAGCCTCAGCAAGAGTTCTGTATGCATCATGTGCCTTCAGACAACAGTACAGGAGAAACAGGATTATTCTTGTCCCCCAATGCAGTGGGTATGCTTGGTGGCGCTAGGGAGGCAGTTCCCTTGTGAGCAAACATCTGTGCACATCTGGGCTGATAAAAATGAATTGGGAGGGTCTGAGCATTTCAATAGCTGGGGTTCTTACCCAACACTCCAGGGTGGAGGAGTGCCTGATGGGTTTAAATCAGTAGTCATTCAGCTCCTGCTAAAAAAGGAAAGGAAAAAGGAAAATCAACCTGGATGCAGATTCCCTAGCTATTCCTTACCTTTTTCTGGGGAATCTGTGGCCATCCATGGGCCACTGAACTACCACTTCCACCTACCTTGACCATTGGCCGGCCTGGCTGGGTTGATGGGAGATGGTGTCAACAACATCTTGAGGGCTACGAGGTATATCCATTGCTACTTTTAGGGAGAACAGGATTTGTGATCAGGCATACACAAGCTTCAGGTAGACCTGGCCATCCATCCTGTTTCTGGAATCATGCCAGTTTTGGTTTTCAGAGCACTGAAATCACACCCGGGACTTATCTCTGTTTACAGACTGATAGGGGTTGAGCTCACCTTGTTGATCCTTTCAGAAGTTATCTGTGGTTTCCAAAGCCTTTGATCAAGAACTCCCACCTGCATATATGCGTAAAGACATACTTTTTAAAATTGATTTTCATTTTAGAAGATTACAAGAGGAGCTAAATAAACAAACCAGGGACAATCAGACAATAATAACACTGTAATTACAGGGTCATGTGATTATGAAGGGAAGAAGGGGAGAGAATGTTTGCGTGTGTGTGTGGACAGTTTCTGGCAAAGCATGCTGATCGCCTAACCTTATGCAAAAGCTCCACTTAGGACACTCAAATACCGATGCAGGACACCCAAATATCTGGTTGCCTGTCCTAGGGAACTGTGAAGGGCCGATTGTTAAACCACTCTGGGAATTGTAGCTCTGGGAAGGGAATAGGGGTCTCCTAACAACCCTCAGCACCCTCAACAAACTACAGCTCCCAGACAGTGTTGGGAACTCACATTGTTCCAGGCACATTTTGCAACAGGGAATTTCATTAGCACGAGCAGTTTCTGAGCTCCAGGCGCGGTACCGCGCCTAAGATTTCAGATTAAAACTGCAGAGGGGAAGGAAACGAGGACCTTTTTCTGCCTCCCTCCTTCCAGCTACAGTGATATCTCGGGTTAAGAACTTAATTTGTTCTGGAGGTCTGTTCTTAACCTGAAACTGTTCTTAACCTGAAGCACCACTTTAGCTAATGGGGCCTCCTGCTTCCGCTGCGCAGTTTATGTTCTCATCATGAAGCAAAGTTCTTAACCCGAGGTACTATTTCTGGGTTAGCGGAGTCTGTTACCTGAAGCGTATGTAACCCGAGGTACCACTGTACTCTCTGAAGACTGGAGAAGAGACCCTATTAAAAATACGGGGGGGGGTGTCAGGGGAAAGAATAGACCATGTGAAAAATGAACATAGTCTCTTAGCTGCTGTTTATTCACTTTCAGCTTTGTATTCTTATTATAAAAACACCCCTAGACATTTTGTTGTTGCGCCTATAAGCTAGGTTTAAGGTGCCATTTAGCTCCTAGCTTTCATAGCTCAGTTTCTAACACTGCTCCCAGAATTCTCTGTGGGGAGCCATGACTGTTTCAAGCAGTATCAAGCGCTTGATACTGTTTCAAGCGCTTTAAATGTATGGTGCAAATGTGGGCTTAGCGTAACCTCTACCTCACAGGGTGGTTGTGAAGGTGAAATGGTGCCGGAGAATGCTTTAAACCAGTGATGGCCAAACTTGGCCCTCCAGCTGTTTTTGGGACTACAATTCCCATCATCCCTGACCACTGGTCCTGTTAGCTAGGGATGATGGGAGTTGTAGTCCCAAAACAGCTGGAGGGCCGAGTTTGGCCATCACTGCTTTAAAACATCGGAGTTCCTTAGAGGGAGGATGGGAGGGGGAGGAAATGTAAAAAATATCTGTTAACCACCCACCTCTAGCTTTGTCGGACTGATCTCCCTCCTCCTGCCTTTTACCCACCACTCCTCTTCCCTTGTATGCCTTGTCATTTATTCTGTAAGCCTGAGGGCAGCGCCTGTGTCTCATTTTCAATTACAGGCAGTGTCTGCCGCAAGCACTGCGTCCTGAATTTTAATTGCTGTAAGCTACTTTGGGAGGCATTCTGATTTCCTCTAGAAAGCAGTATGAAAAGCATAATAGATCAATAAATGAAATAGCCTTTCGTTTCTTTCCTATGTACACACTTTCCTATGGGGAGACTGCCTCTTCCCATACGAACTGACCCGGACCCTGTGATCGTCATCCTTCATGTGCCTCTTCCATGGGAGTCCAGGAGGGCAGCAACACGAGAACAGGCCTTTTCTGTGGTGGCTCCCTGCTTGTGGAACACTCTCCCCAGGGAGGCTCACCGGACACCTTCATTACCTATCTTTAGGCACCAGGTAAAAACATTTATTTGTGACCAGGCCTTTGGCCGATTAACATTCTATGGCCTTGTAAATGGTCTTTGGTGGGCTGTTCTCAGTTTGCTTTTGCTTTATTGTGCATTTTGTGTTCTCAGTTTGTAATTTTATGTTGTGAACTGCCCTGTGGTCTTCAGACGAAGGGCAGTATATTGTTGTTTAGTCGTCTTAGTTGTGTTCGACTCTCTGTGACCCCATGAACCAGAGCATGCCTTGGAAACTCTCACTTTCTTCTCAAAGCTTCTCCTTTTTTTTATGTCCATGGAGTTTTCTTGGCAAAATACCGGAGTGGTTTGCCAGATCCTTCTCCAGGTGGATCACATTTAGTGTAAACTCTCGGCTATGACCTGTCCATTTTGGGTGGCCCTGCACGGCATAGCTCATAGCTTCTTGGGAGTTATTCAAGCCCCTTTGCCATGACAAGGCAGTGATCCATGAAGGGGAAGGGCAGTATACAGTGGTACCTCGGGTTACAGACGCTTCAGGTTACAGACGCTTCAGGTTACAGACTCTGCTAACCCAGAAATAGTACCTCGGGTTAAGAACTTTGCTTCAGGACGAAAACAGAAATCATGCAGCGGCAGCGGAAGGTCCCATTAGCTAAAGTGGTCCTTCAGGTTAAGAACAGTTTCAGGTTAAGAACGGACCTCCAGAATGAATTAAGTACTTAACCCGAGGTACCACTGTACAAATTTAATAAATAATAATCCTGACCCATCTTACCTTTTTCATTCAGAATAGAAGATGGAAATGGCTAAACAGCAGAACGTATCATTTGATGTAATAAACCAGAAATGGAAGCTGAGGGAAGTCAACGGGGGGTGGGGGGTGGAATGAAAAACTAATGTTTAGTATTGATATTGGATATTTGTTTTGAAAATGGAAAATCAATAAAATCTTTAACAAACAAAAAAGAAGGAGGAAATGGCTAATTTAAAATTGGTCTCCCTCCTCCTCGCCCCCCAAAGGATATATTTTAGGACTCAAGAACATGAACTGCTTTTGTGGAGTCTGGCCCAGGGTCTGCTGACAATGCAACCTGTGCATGTTCACTTTGCAGAAATCATCAAAGTTATGTGCACTGAAGCTTAGAGCAGGGACGGCAGCTCACTGGAGGAATGCTTCCTTGGCATACAGAAGTCCAATCCCCAGTATCTCTCAATTAAAAAGAGCCACTAGCATGAATGCGAAATGACTCCAGAAAGCTCTGCTAGTCACGGCAGACCTCCTTCAGTTTTGTCAGATATGGGACCCACCTTTAACCCAACCATGCATTTGTGGACTCACTTATTTTCCTTTTCTTAAAACAAAGTATTTGCGTGTTGCTGTCTATTTATTTTATTTATACCCCACCCTCCATCCTCAAAAAGAGCCCAGGGCAGCAAACACACAAGCAATACAACAACTGCAGGTTTTTAAGCAGAGGTCAGGTGGCCATCTGACATGTTCGTGATTCCTGCATTGCAGGGCACTGGAATACATCAGCGTTTCCCAAACCTGTGTCGCCAGCTGTTTTTGGACTACAACTCCCATCATCCCTAGCTAGTAGGACCAGCGGTCAGGGATGATGGGAATTGTAGTCCAAAAGAAGACCCAAGTTTGGGAAACACTTCAGTGTTTCCCAACCTTGGGCCTCCAGCTGTTTTCGAACTACAATTCCCATCATCCCTGACCACTGGTCTTGCTAGCTGAGGATTATGGGAGTTGTAGTCCAAAAACAGCTGGAGGCCCAAGGTTGGGAAATGCTGGACTAGATGACCCCGGGGATTCCTTCCAACTCTGCGATTCTTTGATTCTGTGAATTAAAGCACCTAAAAATTATTCCAATAGAGAGAAACAGACTTAAATCAAGCCCCAACCCAATAGTTGGGACCAATGGAATAGACCAGGGGTCAGCAAACTTTTTCAGCAGGGGGCCGGTCCACTGCCCCTCAGACCTTGTGGGGGGCCGGACTATATTGGGGGGGGGGAATCTGAACGAATCCCTATGCCCCACAAATAACCCAGAGATGCATTTTAAATAAAAGCACACATTTTACTCATGTAAAAACACACTGATTCCCGGACCGTCCGTAGGCTGGATTTAGAAGACGATTGGGTCATATCCAGCCCCTGGGCCTTAGTTTGCCTACCCATGGAGTAGACTATACTGGGCTAAATGGACCAATGGTCTTGCCTAATACAGTGGTACCTCGGGTTACATACGCTTCAGGTTACAGACTCCGCTAACCCAGAAATAGTACCTCAGGTTAAGAACTTTGCTTCAGGATGAGAACAGAAATCATGCTCCGGCGGCGTGGCAGCAGCAGGAGGCCCCATTAGCTAAAGTGGTACCTCACGTTAAGGTTAAGAACGGACCTCCAGAACAGGTTAAGGACGGTTAACTTCAGGTTAAGACTTCAGGTTAAAACTTCAGGTTAAGAACAGACCTCCAGAACAAATTACCGTATTTTTCGCCCTATAGGACGCACCGTCCTATAAGGCGCACCTAGTTTTTTGGGGGGGGGAAATAAAGGGGAAAAAAATTATTTTCCCCCCAGGCGCGGGGCTGGGCGGGGAAGCCCAAGCTTCCCCCGACCCCAGCCCCCAAACAGGCAGCTCTCTGCAAGCCGTGGGAGCCCAGCGCTGGCTCCCGCTGCTTGCGGAGAGGTCCGCGAAGCCTGGACGCGCTGAGCTCAGCGCGCGCAGGCTTCAGCATGCAGGCAACTCTCCGCAAGCAGCGGGAGCCCAGCGCTGGGCTCCCGCTGCTTGCGGAGAGGTGCGCGAAGCCTGCATTCGCCCCATAGGACGCACACACATTTCCCCTTCATTTTTGGAGGGGAAAAAGTGCGTCCTATAGGGCGAAAAATACGGTAAGTTCTTAACCCGAGGCACCACTGTACAAGGCAACTAGCTTCCTATGTGATTTACTTCCAGGTGTCTGTCCGCAGCATTCCAACCTCAAGTCCATCACCCAATTCCTGACCCTGGCTAGACAAAATACATGATGGAGAAAAACACCCCATTGTTTATTCCCAGCATCCGCTCCCTAGCCGGAATAAGAGCCCTCTGATATTGGAATCCTGCCCCAAAGCCCCAGAAACGAGAACCGAGTTCGGTCCATTGAGATTGGCTTGAACTTGGTGATGAAGTTCATTGTTCCAGTCAGTATTGCCAGTTCAACACATGGAAATGGCTGTGACTTGAAAACAACAACACCACAACAACACCACGGGCTCATGGTCAGGGCAACGCACAACAAGCGTGGTGAAATGCTTAAAAAAAATATTGGTGGTAGTGGGCCATGGGGACTACTCAGTATGTAGAAGAGTTTGGATTTGATATCCCGCTTTATCACTACCCAAAGGAGTCTCAAAGCAGCTAACATTCTCCTTTCCCTTCCTCCCCCACAACAAACACTCTGTGAGGTGAGTGAGGCTGAGAGACTTCAGAGAAGTGTGACTGGCCCAAGGTCACCCAGCAGCTGCATGTGGAGGAGCGGGGAAGCGAACCCGGTTCACCAGATTACGAGTCTACCGCTCTTAACCACTACACCACACTGGCTCTTAGTCTATGTGTAGTCTATGTGTGAGAGAAGGAAACTCTGTACATGCTCAGACGGGGCCCTGACGCTGGGACCGACTTCCATATTGGAGGTGTTTGTTATCGAAAATTCTTCAGAAAAATTAAACAAGCTACAAGTTCTTTCAGACTTCCTTTGCAGAGAGGAGGCGGTTGGAGTTAAGAGAAAAAGAGAGAATCAAAAGGAGGAGGATTCCTGAAATAACTCCTTGGTTTCCATTCTTAGCAAGATCTACCAAACATAGGAAGCTGCCGTATACAGAGCTCAATTGTTGTCTACACTGACTGGCAGTGGCTATCGAGGGTTTTGGACAGGATTCTCTCCCAGCCCTGCCTAGAGATGCCAGGGATTGAATCATCATCATCATCATCATCATGTATTATTTATACCCCGCCCATCTGGCTGGGTCCCCCCAGCCACTCTGGGCGGCTTCCAACAAAACACTAAAATACAATAACCTATTAAACATTAAAAGCTTCCCTGAACAGGGCTGCCTTTAGATCTCTTCTAAAAGTTTGGTAGTTATTTTTCTCTTTAACATCTGGTGGGAGGGCGTTCCACAGGGCGGGCGCCACTACCGAGAAGGCCCTCTGCCTGGTTCCCTGTCACCTCACTTCTCACAGTGAGGGAACCGCCAGAAGGCCCTCGGTGCTGGACCTCAGTGTCCGGGCAGAAAGATGGAGGTGGAGACACTCCTTCAGGTATACTGGACTGAGGCCGTTACACACTTGTGCTACAAACTTTCATAAGAACATAGAGTATGCTGGATCAGGCCAAAGACTCATCTAAGTCCATCATCCTGTCCCCACAGTGGCCAAACAGTTGCCCGTGCCCCCCCTAAAAAAGGGTCGACAACTTTGACCTGAACCCCCCCGAAAAACTGATCACCATCAGTTTTTCATTCTGAGTAGATCACTGTCTCTTGGGAGTTGAACGTCCCTGCTTTAGAGTAATAAGATAGCTCAGTCGGTAGAGCACAAGACTCTTAAATTTCCGGGTTGTCATGTGTGGGGGGGTGGTATTGGACCAAGATGACCCTCGTGATCGCTTCCAACTCTACAATTTTATGATTCTAATGATTCACAGTGCGGGTGGCGCTGTGGTCTAAACCACAGAGCCTAGGGCTTGCCGATCAGAAGGTCGGTGGTTTGAAACCCCGCGATGGGGTGAGCTCCCGTTGCTCGGTCCCTGCTCCTGCTAACCTAGCAGTTCGAAAGCACGTCAAAGTGCAAGTAGATAAATAGGTACCACTCCGGCGGGGGGGTAAATGGTGTTTCCGTGTGCTGCTCTGGTTCGCCAGAAGTGGCTTAGTCATGCTGGCCACATGACCCGGAAAAACTGTCTGCGGACAAACGCCGGCTCCCTTGGCCAGTAAAGCGAGATGAGCGCTGCAACCCCAGAGTTGGTCACGACTGGACCTAATGGTCAGGGGTACCTTTACCTTTTAATAGGCTTTAAGGGCTGTATCAACAACATAAAGGCTTAGACTAGGGCAGTCTGACATGTGGTCCGTGGGCTGCATGCAGCCCTTGAGGCATTTTTGGTGGCCCTCAGAAACATTTTACACACACACACACTGCAGCCATCAGGCTGGCTTCCCAAAGCCATGTAAGCGAGGTGCTGGGCTTTGGGGAGGAAGAGTGAGGGGCCTGGCAGAGACCTAGAGTCCTCCTTCCCAAAGCCTAGTTGTTGCTTTCCCAGCTTTGGGAAGGAGATGGGATGACTCTATGACCCCGCCAGAGCCTCACACCTCCTTCCCAAAGCCCTGCCTCGCTTAGCAGGCTTTGGGAAAGCAACATTAGGGCTGCGGGGGCACCAGATTTTGGCCTCCCTCCCCACCCACCAGTGTGACAAGGTAGTGTGCAGCCTGCAGGTTCAAGTACATTTGTGGCCCACTTGGTATGAAAAGCTGGACCTGCCCTGGCCTAGACTGAAGGTCAGCTGATTTCCCCCCACTTAGGTTTACTGTTGTAGACTTGACCCCAGTACCTCTGCATCTTGTACAGTGGTACCTCTGGTTACGTACTTAATTCGTTCCCGAGGTCCGTTCTTAACCTGAAACTGTTCTTAACGTGAAGCACCACTTTAGCTAATGGGAAGGCGGCGGCGGCGTGATTTCTGTTCTCATCCTGAAGCAGAGTTCTTAACCCGAGGTACTATTTCTGGGTTAGCGGAGTCTGTAACTTGAAGCGTATGTCACCTGAAGTGTATGTAACCCGAGGTACCACTGTACTGCAAGGGCGGCTTAAAAGCACCTTAAATTATATATCATAACACTAGAGCTGAGCCTCACTGTAGGAATGGGCTCTTCTGCTCTTTTCTGGGAGGTGAGAGAGAGAGAGGAAACCTCAGCACCGCAAAATGGAATGGGGTCCTCCAAGCCGCTGGCCCACAGGAGGCTGCCTTATATGCCGCCTCGCTCAGGATGGCTATGACATTGCGCTGACTTGGCTACGGCGCGCCCAGACTCCGGCCTCCTGCTCCACAGCCCACGTGTCCGCAGCCCGGCTCCGGGTTCCAATCCCCCGGCGCATGCGTAGAAAAGGAAGCCGTCCGCTCAGCTCCTCCCTTGACCTGCTTGCCTGGGCGCATGTGCATATTGCGATCCCTTTTCCTCCTCCTCCTCCCCCTCCCCTTTTTAGGAAGCTGCCTGGGCGCATCCTTCTCTCTCTACCTGATTTCCTCCCGCTCTGCCCTCCCCTCGCGCTCGCGCCACCGGGCTCGTGCGCGCGCGCGCGGGCAAGCTCCGGCCGGGCAAGTAAGCAAGCAAGCAGGCGGGCGGGCGGGCAGGCAGGCAAGGCAAGGCAGGCAGGCGAGGAGGGAGGGAGGGAGGCGAGCAGGCAGGCGGGCGACCGAGCAGGAGCAACGACCCAGCCGGCGCCGCCGCCGCCGCAGCCAAGATGGAGTCGCGGCTGGCGCGGCTGGCGCTGCAGGGAGCGAGCGGGCGCGCCTAGGGCTCCCTCCCTGCCTGCCTGCCGCAGCCTCGCGAGCCCTTCCTGCCGCCCCATGGCCTGGCCTCCCTCCGGCGCCCCCTCGGGTCTCCCCTCGGCGGGGCTCCCGGGGCCACTCCGCCTCGGCCAGTGAGGTGGTGCTGCTGCTGCTGGTGCCGCCGTCCGCGCGCGCGCGCCTGTGCGCCCCTCTCCTCCTCCTCCTCCTCTTCCTCCTCGTCGTCCCCGCGTGTCGCCGCCGCCGCCGCCGGGGCCCCGCGCTCTGAGCCTCCCGGCCGCAGGATGCTGCCGTCGCAGGAGGCCTCGAAGCTGTACCATGACAACTACATGCGGAACTCGCGGGCCATCGGCGTGCTGTGGGCCATCTTCACCATCTGCTTCGCCATCATCAACGTGGTGGTCTTCATCCAGCCCTACTGGATCGGCGACAGCGTCAGCACGCCCAAGCCGGGCTACTTCGGCCTCTTCCACTACTGCGTGGGCAACGAGGGCAACAACCGCGAGCTCACCTGCCACGGCTCCTTCGCCGACTTCCGCAGCATCCCCTCGCGCGCCTTCAAGGCCGCCTCCTTCTTCGTGCTGCTCTCCATGGTGCTGATCCTGGGCTGCATCACCTGCTTCTCGCTCTTCTTCTTCTGCAACACGGCCACGGTCTACAAGATCTGCGCCTGGATGCAGCTGCTGGCAGGTAAGGGGGGAAGCGGGGCCTCGGGGGACCCCTCCCCACCCATACACAACTCTCTCTGCCCCCACTACACACCCCCTCCCCAAAGGACCTTCCTCACCCCCCACACAAGCCAACCCAAATTCCAAAGGAGGGAGGGGAAGATGTCAAGATGGGGAAGAGTGGGGCGCTTGCCCCCCAACTAGGATGGAACAGTGGGCAGAATTGGGATAACCAGAAGTTTCTGTGTCCGGGTCGTTTGGCTAAATGGTGATGAACCTGCTTTTAAGTGGGCTGCATGGGAGGAAGACACACAGCGAGTTAGGCTATTTTGGAACATTTAGTTGTTGCAGTCTTGTGCCGTAAAGGGATACCCGTTTTCCCGGGGCAGGAGGAGGCCAACAGAACCAGGCTTGAAAGCTCCTTTCCACTGGTTTGATGAGACTGAAGGTTTGATGAGACCCACTTTAAGCCAATGTGGTGACCTCCACACATTTTGGGACTCCCATCAGCCCCAGTCGGCATGGCGGTTGGGTCAGGCATGAGTGAGAGTTGTAGTTCAACAACATTTGCAGGGTGCCATATTGGAATGGAAACTCTAGGGCCTAGAAAGACTTGCTAGCCTAGGCTCCAGAGTGCCCTGGTAAGTACTGGAAGATAAGTGTTTCACTAAGCTTGTGGAATGTCTCTGGCTCTTGTGAGGTTGGGTGTATGTATGTGTGTGTATACACACCACAGTATGTATAGTAATCTGCCTGTCGGTGCTTCTCAACGAAGTGTGATATGTGAATCTTGATGTAATTTCCTCTGGGGTTAGGCTGAAATAAAGGACAACGCTCTGACATGCCTTTCCCTTTTCTCAGCGTTCAGATAAATTACTGGGAGCTCTTTTAAAGCTTAAACAGGAAATTCCTTCATCTTTAATTTTAAATGTATCCAAAGATGTATTGATTTAAAACCAGCTCAGAGACTAAATCCTCACCGCAGGGAGCTGGGGAAATAATTCTCAGGATTGGTCAAGGATCTTGCTGCCTCCGTGGCCCTGTCCAGGGTGCTGAAGGCATCAAGAGGCACTGACTGCACTGTGCAGAATGTTGCTCGTTTGGTTGCAATGGCTAGGAAGGCTAGGAGACAAGGATCATAACCAAAAGGCATGGGCCCAGATTTCTGGACTTTAGGTCAGATAATGCAGACCTGGAGACAGGTGTAAATGACCATGTAAGGGCTGCTCAAGTAGGATCTGAAAGTCACTATCCTGAATTAAGGGGGGGATCTCGGCAGGTGTATAACAAAAAGGGTCAAGAAGGGTGCACATCTCTTTTACAAATAGGTGCAAGAAGGCTACCCCCTCCATTGTAAAAGCATTTTAAAGTTTAAGCTCTGGACTAAGTCGCAGGGACCAGCCTAAGGCTGGAAGACCTGAATTTGAAATGAGCCAAGATGCCTAGCTGAGCACTGAAGGAAGAGGTGATGAGTGAATGTCTGATTAGCAGGAAGGATGTCTGTCTAAAAAGTGCAACTAGGCCTGGTTGGGTCAGTAATAAGGTTTTTGTTGTTGTTGTTGTTGTTAAGGATGGGAATGGGGGGCAAAGGTGTTCAGGGTGCCTCTTCCTCGTGATAGACCACATTTTAAATGATGGGGGTCAGGATATGCTGTAGCCTCCCCAGCAAAGCACAGAGATCCCAGCAAAGTTTCAATTGCACTGCTATGAAGGAGGTGTGGGTCGGCAGAGAAGCAAAGGTGGTTTTGGGTCAATCAGGTGGGCTACTAGAGACCCATAGAAGTCTATACAATCCACCCTCTGCTCTGCTTCAGGCTTTCCCAACCCAAGGCCACCCCCTCTGGATGTTGCTGGACTACAACTCCCATCATCCCTAACCACTTGCCTTTCTGGCTGGGGCTGATGGGAGATGTAGTCCACAACATCTGGAGGGCACCAGGTTGGAGAAGGCTCCTCAATTTGTACACAGGCAGGGAAGCAATTGCCTTTCCCTCTGCACTAGATATGGCCAGGGGACGTGATGTTTGAAGGTATGGCATTATTATGTTTAGATGTTTTTAATGTTTTTATCTTGATATTTTATTTAATGAGCTGGTGGTTCATAAATATTCTTATAAATATAAATTTAAAAAAGTATCTAAGGTTATTGCTGGAACATATCCACCACTTCCATGGATATCAAAGGCTCTAGAACATTGTCCCTCCCTGTCTCCTCCCTTGGCTGCTGTTTTGTACAGCTCAGATATGGGGGAAGCTCTGTGGCCCTCCAGATGTTTTCGGACTACAACTCCCATCAGGCCTGACCACTGGCTGTGCTGTCTGGGGCTAACAGGGGATTGGAAGTCAGCAGCATCTGGAGGGCTGTCCACGTTCTCCATCCCTGATGTAGCGAAAAGCCCACAATGCAGTTCCTGCAAACCCTTCTTAAGGCAATATCACCATTGTCCTGCACTGTCGTGGGTCGGACTAGATGACCCTTGGGGGACCCTTCCAACTCTGCTATTCTGTGATCATGCAATGAGAGGCTTGGTCTGGCAATGAGACTGGAGGCCCCGAAAAGTGAGGTGAGCCCAGGTTGGTGCTCTCAACATGGCAAACCTAGATGCCTTGTCCTTGGTGGGCGGGAAAGGGTTACAGCACGGCCAAGTTTCCAGATAAGGGCATTCCACTCCCAAGCAGCACTTGGCATAGCAGATCGTATGTAACCCTTCCCCACCTCCATGGATCCTTGCCAGATTCCTTCAGTAGATTCTACCCACAAACCAACAGCACCGTTCCCTAGCCATTGTAGTGGAGAGTCAAGAATAAGACACTACTGAGTGGAAACTGCTTGATTCAGCTGCCAAAGAATTAGCAGAGCACATAAGGAGCAGAAGAGGCTGCAGTTTGGAGAGCCACGGAGGTGGTGTAAGGATGGCAGTGGCAGGAGTGGAATTTTCAGCAGATAAAAGCTGTTTTCGGCCCATTAACAGTCTTGTTCTAGCTAATTGATGGATTAATGAGCCAGTGGTGGTTCATAAAACAGTTTTACAATGGAGGCTTTATTTATCAAAGGTAGCATTTTATCTTGGCTAGGTAACACAGTCGATTTATTTATTTATTTGTGTATTGAAAGGTGACGAGATGTTCTCCGCTTGAGCGCGTTACTTACCTGACCCGAGTGCCTTAATCTGAACTGGGAAACGCTGGAGCCCAGATTGTTCGCAATAATGCCAGAGGCTCCAAACAACTGTTTCACAAAGCCCTGTTCTGTTTACAATGAATTAGTCCACTGAACAGGGCTGATTTAATTGATTTATCAGTTCATCATCTAGCTAAATCAGCAAGCATGCACAACCTGAGCATGGTGGTGGTTGAGAATTTGTGTAGCCCATTCAAGCGGATGCATAAATGAAGACACGGCCGGGGTAATCTGGCTGTGGAAATGACCACACAAAGCACAAACATCAGCGCACATCAGGTTAAGGAATGGGACAGATCAAGTTGGTGGACAGCGGAGACAAAATGTTGATCCTTTTCGAATTCTGCACCAATTATATGCATTCCAGTATAAGGCTGCCCAGGTGTCATAAACAAAGTAATATACAGTGGTACCTTGGGTTAAGTACTTAATTCGTTCCGGAGGTCCGTACTTAACCTGAAACTGTTCTTAACCTGAAGCACCACTTTAGCTAATGGGGCCTCCTGCTGCCGCTGCGCCGCCGGAGCGCAATTTCTGTTCTCCTCCTGAAGCAAAGTTCTTAACCTGAAGCGCTATTTCTGGGTTAGCGGAGTCTGTAACCTGAAGCATATGTAATCTGAAGCGTATGTAACCTGAGGTACCACTGTATGTGGGTGAACCTGCATGAATAACTGGTTTGTTTGTCAAAAAATAAAGTTTTCCCCAAAATAAAGTTAATGATTCTCCCCCCCAGCCACCCCCTGCCCTCTGGTTACCCAGGGGGAAATGGACAGATGGGGTTGAAAACTTCACCTGCCCAACCGCTTGCTTTATTCTAAAAGCAGACCTTCAAGAAAAGCGGCTCACCAGAGAGTTGTGTTTATTTTTATTCCGGGATCAGTATTTGAGAAACTACAGAAACTTGAATAATTCCTCCTGCCACTCACCCACCCCATCCAACAAATAATAGGAGGAGAGGTATACAGGCAACTGCCCATTTACACATGTTCAATATGCGCACAACTAGTAAATGTGCATTACACCAAGCCCAGAAGTGAATTTTAAAAATCACCAAAACATCTCCAGAAGAGCACAGAAAAGTCTGAAAAGGCACGAAAACAGCGCCTAGCAATCCCATAGCCCAGGGGTCAGCAATCTTTTTCAGCCGTAGGCTGGACCACCGTCCCTCAGACCATGTGGGGGGCCAGGCTGTATTTTTTGGGGGGGGAATGAATGAATTCCTGTGCCCCACAAATAACCCAGAGATCCGTTTTAAATAAAAGGACACATTCTACTCATGTAAAAACATGCTGATTCCCGGACCATCCGCTGGGCGGATTGAGAAGGCAATTGGGCCGCATCCGGTCCCCGGGCCTTAGTTTGCCTACCCCTGCCATAGCCTTTGCCATTGCAATCCCAAGAGCCTTTGCACTGACCGTTGAGGCCTGTGGTGTGTTGGAGTTTGAGGAAGGAGGTTGTGCGAGAGAGTTGGGTGTCAGGTAAGTACTGGTGGTTTTTTAAAGGTTTTCCAGAGATTTAAAGGGTATCTGCAGGATTTTCTAATGGGTGCTTCAATGATACACGATTCCACGTATGCGCCTGGTGCCTTGGAACGTAAGCCCTGCATAAACGGGTAGCTGACTGTATTAGTAGGGATGCAGGTGGCACTGTGGGTTAAACCACAGAGCCTAGGAATTGCCAATCAGAAGGTCGGTGGTTCAAATCCCCGTGACGGAGTGAGCTCCCGTTGCTTGGTCCCTGCTCCTGCCAACCTAGCAGTTTGAAAGCACCTCAAAGTGCAAGTAGATAAATAGACACCACTCCGGTGGGAAGGTAAACGGCATTTCTGTGCGCTGCTCTGGTTTCGCCAGAAGCGGCTTAGTCATGCTGGCCACATGACCCGGAAAAACTGTCTGTGGACAAACAGCAGCTCCCTCAGCCTGTAAAGCGAGATGAGCGCCGCAACCCCAGAGTCGTTCACGACTTGACTTAATTGTCAGGCCTGTATTAGTAAATGAGAATTAGCAGACAAATAAAGGAACCAGTCTGGAGGCTAATCAGCTTATGGAGAAAACTCCAACTCTGCCTCCCCCTCATAGTTAGTACCTTTCCTGGGTGTTTCCTAGTTGTACCTTTTCTGCATGTTCCAGGTGTATCATGAGGCCTAGAAACTTCCCCCTCTTCAAAGGAAGTAAACTAGGAACTGCGGGAGGTGATGGTCCCTGCCAATTGCATTTGCGGGGGTCACTGTGCTATAGAGAGAAAGAAAGAGGGAATCCAGCCAAGCTGAAAGATCCTCATCCTGCTCCACCAGATTATTTATTTATTATATTTGCTATAGTTATACTCCCCTTGTTGTCCAACATTGGCTCCCAAAGAAGCTTACATTTAAAATCCCATCACAAGATGCAATTTAAGGAAACATTTGCCTGCGTTCATAGTGAGGGACGGGGAAATGTGAGGTTTGTATCTCACTGTTCTGGCTTTTGGATGTGGGTGGCGCTGTGGGTTAAACCACAGAGCCTAGGACTTGCTGATCAGAAGGTTGGCGGTTCGAATCCCTGCGACTGGGTGAGCTCCCGTTGCTCGGTCCTAGCTCCTGCCAACCTAGCAGTTCGAAAGCACGTCAAAGTGTAAGTAGATAAATAGGTACTGCTCCGGCGGGAAGGTAAACGGCGTTTCCGTGCGCTGCTCTGGTTTGCCAGAAGCGGCTTAGCCATGCTGGCCACATGACCCAGAAACAAACTGTCTGCGGACAAACGCCGGCTCCTCGGCCTATAGAGCAAGATGAGCACCACAACCCCAGAGTCGTTCGGGACTGGATCTAACAGTCAGGGGTCCCTTTACCTTTACCTTTACTATTCTGCCTTTGCGTTCTTCTCCGTTCCATTGTTGTGTTGTTCTTGCCACAGCCTCTCCTGGCTAGTTCCTTCCTGCATTGTAACCAAATCCAACCGCTGCACCTTCACAACACAAAGCTCTGCGGTCAGTATATTGAGAGAGGCAGAGAGATGGTCAGCTCTGTTTTCTTCTCCGCAATGAAAGGACTTCTACCATACAGCTCAGCATCAGTTGGGGCCTGGAAACTGAGGGCGTTGGCTGCATGAGAGATGGTGGGGGGCAAAGGGATTGTCTTAGATGTTAAGTCTCCTATCTCACCCACTCCCCGTCTTCCCAGTCACTAGTGGCTGCTGGGCCCTGCAGTGTCCCAGCCCAGTGAGAAAGGCTTTCTTCAATGAAGCTGAATGTTGGAAAAGTCAAGACAGACTAAGAAAGCACTTCTTCATAGACAGAATCATAGAATTGTGGAGTTGGAAGGAACCACGACAGTCATTTAGTCCAACTCCCTGCAATGCAGGATTCTTTTTGTCCAATGTGGGGCTCAAACCCACAACCCTGAGATCTAGAGTCTCACGCTCTACTGACTGAGCTGTCACGCAGTGCATAGTTGAAGTATGGAATCTGCTTCCTGAAGATATAGTGATGGCCACCAACTTGGATGGCTTAAAAAAAAAACCACAACCAGACAAATTCACAGAGAACAAGGCTATCAGTGATTAGTAGCCACTTTGGCTAGCTGTGCACTGCCAGAGGAGATATGATTTTTGTTGTTTAGTCGTGTCCAACTCTTTGTGACCCCATGGACCAGAGCACGCCAGGCACTCCTGTCTTCCACTGCCTCCTGCAGTTTGGTCAAACTCATGCTGGTAGCTTCGAGAACACCGTCCAACCATCTCGTCCTCTGTCGTCTCCTTCTCCTTGTGCCCTCCATCTTTTCCAGCATCAGGGTCTTTTCCAGGGAGTCTTCTCTTCTCATGAGGTGGCCAAAGTCTTGGAGCCTCAGCTTCAGGATCTGTCCTTCCAGTGAGCACTCAGGGCTGATTTCCTTCAGAATGGAGAGGTTTGATCTTCTTGCAGTCCATGGGACTCTCAAGAGTCTCCTCCAGCACCATAATTCAAAAGCATCGATTCTTCGGCGATCGGCCTTCTTTATGGTCCAGCTCTCACTTCCATACATCACTACTGGGAAAACCATAGCTTTAACTATACAGACCTTTGTTGGTAAGGTGATGTCTCTGCTTTTTAGCCATCTTCAAATATCTAAAGGGCTGTTGCATGGAAGGTGGAACAAGCTTGTTTTCACCTGCTCTGGAGGGTAGGACCCGAACCAATGGATTCAAACTGCAGACAGGAGATTCTGACTAAATACCAGGAAGACCTTTTTGATGCTAAGAGCTTTTTGGCAGTGGAACGGACTCTCTGGGAAGGTGGTGGACTCTCCTTCATTTTTTAAACAGAGGTTGGATGGCCATCTGTCATGGATGCTTTAGCAGTGACTCCTGCCTTGCAGGGGGTTGGACTAGATGACCCTTGGGGTCCCTTCCAACTCCATGATTCTGTTATTCCCCCCAACAAAACAAAACAAATGGGCACCACTCCCTAGGAGAGATATAGGCACTGTGAATATGGAGAGCGCAAAGAGTTGGAGTATTTAGGTTAAAGCAAGGCTTGCATTTCTCCCCTTCCTTTCCTAGGATAGGCAAGAGGGTTTGTGTTGTAAACAATGCCTGTCCTTAGATGGAAACGAGAAATAAAGGAGTATGCTTTGAAGCAAAGGGGAGCTAGAAGCAGTTTCAAGCGAGTTCAAGGCCATTTCACACTAGAGCCGAAGAACAGGCATCCCAGGGTTGAGTGCAGTCTCAACCTGAGAAGACAACGTCTCTGTTTGGAAACACTTTAAGTCTTCGGCGTCTAATTAGTGGCTAACAAATCAGCGAAGGCTCTAATTAGGGCTTCCCAGAAAACTCCAGCTTAAGAGGCACTGCCTCCCCCCCCGCACCCCCCAGGAAGTGGGATCTAATTAGGAGAAAAGATGCTCCTGTTATTCCAAACAGAAAAAGACCAGCCATCTGCCCTGCTGAAAACCCCAGTAACTCAGAACCACAGAGTGTGGGTTTTTCTCTTCTTCTTCTTCTTCTTCTTCTTCTTCTTCTTCTTCTTCTTCTTCAAATTCTCCCTATTCTAAAACCAGCCACTGTGACGTGTTCCAGGAAGGAGGAAAAATAATCATAATAATCAGGTGGATGGGTGACTGTGCTCAAAGCTCACCCCAAAGTTTTGAGTCCAGTGCTGGCTGGTCCATTAGGGCAAGTGGGGCAGTAAGCTCAGTCTGTCCCTGACTGGCCCTCCTAACAGATGACCAGCTTTGTGGGTGGCATGGGCAGTCAACCTCCTCCTTGGTCTTGCCTTTGTAGAACTCAGCAAGGAGGGAAATGGAGTCAAATGCAGGATTAGTTTATCACCATCACCATTTTTAATTTGTATACCGTCTTTCTATCTTACAACACTCAAGGCAGTTTACAAGCTGAAGAAACAAAAAACGTACATCTTATAACAATCTAACGCAATACAAAAATGTGATAATAAAGCATAACTTTAAAATAGGCAACCTACATAAAAAGTAACATTCAACAATCATTAGAATAATATTAAATAATAATAATAATAACATATAAAAGTTAAAAGGGAAGCGGGTGGCGCTGTGGGTTAAACCACAGAGCCTAGGACTTGCTGATCAGAAGGTCGGCGGTTTGAATCCCCATGACAGGGTGAGCTCCCGTTGCTCGGTCCCTGCTCCTGCCAACCTAGCAGTTCGAAAGCACGTCAAAGTGCAAGTAGATGAATAGGTACCGCTCCGGCGGGAAGGTAAACGGCGTTTCTGTGCGCTGCTCTGATTTGCCAGAAGCGGCTTAGTCATGCTGGCCACATGACCCGGAAGCTGTACGCCGGCTCCCTCGGCCAATAAAGCGAGATGAGTGTCGCAACCCCAGAGTCGTCCGCGACTGGACCTAATGGTCAGGGGTCCCTTTACCTTTACCTATAAAAGTTAAACAGAAATCCACTCAACAGTTACAATAAATAATTTCTAAACTATAGTCAATAAAACAACGGCAAGCCACAGTACATAAAATAATGCAATACAAAATGAGAAGCAGAGACTAGAGGGTGGGGCAAGGCAGGTATAAGGAGGCCTTACCTGATGAAGTCTCTCCCCTCACAGTTCTTCCTTTAGGACCAGCTCCCTTATGAGGACTCCGGTTTGTATGGGCTGGCCTTCAGTGTTATTCTTTGGAGGCTCACGCCCAGCCTCAGTAGAAGTAATTGGCTATGGCTCCCCCTACTGTTGGCCTCCCGGCCTTCCGCCCTATCAGCCCCAGGAGGAACCAGCCTCCGCTGCCTGAGTCTCCCTGGAGTAATCAGTCGGGGAACCCAAGGCGAGAGTCTTCAAGGAGGCTGTGCACGCTTGAATCTTCTTTCCCCCTGCCTCTTCCTTCGCAGATGGTGCTTGTCATCTTTAATTGTGAGCCATTTGGGACAAATGCATCGGCGTAGCAGGTGCTGGCAGAGGAAGCAGCCAGAGGGGCTGAAGGAGGAGCTGGGTGTAAACCGCAGGCAAATGCACACCATCATCATACACCTTGGCAGGGGAAAATGTGGCCAATGCATTTAGATAGCTGGGAAGCTACTCAGGTGCTGGGGCTCCAGCTTGCTCAGTGTGGTGTATTGGTTAGAGTGTTCGACTAGGACCTGGGAGACCAGGGTTCAAATCCCCGCTCGGCCATGAAGCTTGCTGGGTGACCTGTTATTGCTCATGAGCTCTCTAGGTGACCTTGGGCCAGTCACTGCCTCTCAGCCTAACCTACCTCACAAGGTTGTTGTAGGGGTTGAATGAGGAGGGAGCGAACCATGTATGGCACCTTGAGCTCCTTGGAAGAAAGGTGGGATATAAATGCAATAGATATACCACACCCCTGTCATTTGGGAAGCCCCTTGCCTCTTCTCCTTTGACGATCACTCATAGCCGAGTAAGATTGTCTTCCATGAACAGTCTTAACAGTCAGTCTGTGAGTGACTATGCAGGCCAATTCTGGATCCACACGACCTTCCACAGTGGGGCCATAGGTTTCCGGGCAGGAGTTGCTCATAGTGTGGATTTACCAAATGTGCCTTCCTCTTAGCATATTTCTCCATTTCATCCTAAGTTCGAGCGTCTTCAAAGTCCATGACACCTTTGGTAAAGGTTGTACTCCAGTTGGAGCGCTTGCAGGCCACTGTTTCTCAGCTGTCGGTGTTTATACTACATTTTTTAGATTTGCGTTAAGAGAGTCTTTTTTAAAAGATTTGCCTTGAGACAGTCTTTAAACCTTTTTTGTTGACCACCAGCACTACGCTTTCCATTTTTAAGTTCGGAATAGAGTAGTTGGTTTGGAAGACAATAATCAGGCATCCGAACAACATGACCAGTCCAACGAAGTTGATGTTGAAGAACCATTGCTTTGACACTGGTGATCTTTCCTTCTTCCAGTATACTGGCATTTGTTTGCCTGTCTTCCCAAGTAATGTGTAACATTTTTCGGAGACACCGTTGATGGAATCTTTCGAGGAGTTGGAGATGGCGTTTATAAGTGGTCCATGTTTCACAAACATAGAGTAAAGTTGGTAGTACAATAGCTTTGTAAACAAGCATTTTGGTTCCCCTTCGAATGTCCTGGTTCTCAAACACTTGGCACTTCAATCAGGAGAAAGCTGCACTTGCAGAGCTCAGGCGATTCTGGATGTTGGCCCTTGTGGAAAGAGAACTGCCCAGGTAGGAAAAGTGATCAACACTTTCCAGTGTTACACCATTAAGTTGGATTTGTGGCACCGCAGAGGGGTTGTTTTGTGCTTGTTGGTGCAGCACTTTGGTTTTTTGGATATGGAGCGATAGGCCAAGTTTTCTGTAAGCTTCTGTGAAGATTGTCGAAGGGAAACTCCCCACTGGGTTAGAAATCATATATCGAACAGACGGAAAGCTCTTTCATCTAAGTACTGAAAGCAAAGAGTTTCAGACACGGGCCTTTCCCTGGAAATGCTAGGGCTCAAAGTAGGGGCCTTCTGCATGCCAACCACCTGCCTCCACCTCAGTCCCTTGTTCCCAGCACTTGGTAATCAAAGGAGTGTGCTGCTTCAGAGCAGGTTAGGAGCAGCCGGTGAGTCATATCAGCAAAGGGGTTTCCTTTGTTGCATTTTTCCCTAAGAGGACTGCTTCATTGCAGCTATGTAGGGAGGTCAGGCAGCCTCCTCTGCAGCAGAAGCCTGAAAGACTTAGATGAACACAGCCGGCAGGTGGACCTCAGAGGATGGGCGGAAGAGAGAGGGATGAGAGCCTGAGCAAAGCTCTTCTAGCATAGCTTTCTGGTGGTTGGATTTGGTTTTGCAACGCTGTGCTCAGGCGGGCAGCGTTTCACTGGCCCCTGTGTCAGAGCGCTGCATGCCCAATTTCAGGCAGGTAGACAGGCGGTGGTAGGACGCGGGTGGCGCTGTGGGTTAAACCACAGAGCCTAGGACTTGCCAATCAGAAGGTCGGCGGTTCGAATCCCCGCAACAGGGTGAGCTCCCGTTGCTCAGTCCCTGCTCCTGCCAACCTAGCAGTTTGAAAGCACATCAAAAGTGTAAGTAGATAAATAGGTACTGCTCTGGCGGGAAGGTAAACGGCGTTTCCGTGTGCTTTACCTTTAGGCAGGCGGTGGTCGATCATACCTTTTGGAGAAGGGATCTGGGAAGGGGGGTCGGCAGCTTACAGGAACTGGCACCACAGCCCAACGCAGGAACACTGGCTCAGCAAAAAAAGCAAAGCAAAACAAAGCCTCCAGGAGCCCCTTGCCTGTGTTTTCTTCTCAGTAGCAGGCCTGACAAGAAGGTTGGTGGCGGATGTGGGAAGGGGGGGGAGGCGATAGATGTAGATTCTCCCTGGGGATCCAGCAGGGAAGCTGGCAGAGCAGGGCAGCTGCAGCAAGAACAGGAGGGGAGAGAGGAGGAGGAAGGAGGAGGAGTGTTTTTTTGGGGGGAGATTATTGCCTGGAATTGCTGTGTTGCAGATTCCGCGGTCCCAGCCCCTCCACCTGCCCTGAGTTAAAACCGATACTTTTTCCAGGAAGGTGTCTCAACCAACAAAGAGATATTTAATTCTCCCCCGTAAAGCAAGGAGTGCCAGATTTCTGTTCAGAGCTCAGCTCAGGTTTTGTTGACAGCAAGTGGCTTTCTGGTGGCAGTTATAGCAGTACAGCGGAACCTCGGGTTACAGACCCTTCAGGTTACAGACACTTCAGGTTACAGACTCCGCTAACCCAGAAATAGTACCTCGGGTGAAGAACTTTGCTTCGGGATGAGAACAGAAATCGTGCGGCGACAGCTGGAGGCCCCATTAGCTAAAGTGGTACCTCAGGTTAAGAACGGACCTCCAGAACGAATTAAGTTCTTAACCCAAGGTACCACTGTACTGCTACTAACAATAATTTATATTTATCTGCCTCCCATCTGACTGGGTTGCCTCAGTCACTTTGGGCCACTTCCAACAAATTCATACATCAAACAGTAAAACATCAACCGTTAAAAATTTCCTATACAGGCCTGCCTTCAGATGTCTTCTAAAAGTCAGATAGTTGTTTATTTCCTTGACATCAGATGGGAGGACATTCCACAGGGCGGGCACCACAACCGAGAAGGCCCTTTGCCTGGTTCCCTTGTAAACTCACTTCTCACAATGAGGGAACTGCCAGAAGGTTCTCAGAGGTGGACGTCCGTGTCCGGGCTGAACGATGGGGATGGAGATGCTCCTTCAGATATACAAGGCTGGTATACAACAAATTGCACTGATAATAGCTGCTTTTTTATATAGCATTTTAGATCGTCGTCCCCCGTCCCCCCGCCACACGCCCATACCCAAAGTGCTTTGCAATGTGCATTGTGCTTTATCCTTGTTGACAGCCGAGCTCACGTCATGGGCCTGTGGCAGAAGATGGTATAAAAACACTTCTTCCCGGTGGTGGATGTTCCATTGGGTGGAACAGCTCACCAAGTCTGCCCTCAGCCAGCCTCTATTTGCTTGCCTTCTTACTTGCATCCAGCCCAGAAGGTGGCACTGGATGTCAGCTTCCTCTTCCTTTGTCATCGTGTTGCCCCTTGTAGAAGCCAGCAGGGACAACCATAGTTGAATCTGCCTATCTAGTGCCACTTACTGTTGGCCTCCGGGATTTCCACCCATCACTATTGCTTCCCAATGCCAAACCCCATGCCTTTTTATTTCTGGTGTCATTTTTATTGACGATGGCTCTTGTTATGTTAAAAAAACAAAACAGCATTATATAAAAAAGACAAAGCCAAAACGATCCAAAGACTAAATAAACCATTCATCGTAATTACAACAAACCAAGTATTTTCTCAACAGCAGCAGGTGCGTTATTAAGATGCAATATATACTTGCTCCGAATTTTCCATTTAAAAAAATCCAACCCATAAATAAATGTGTTTACTTCCAAAATGACTGCATCTAAGGTATATTAGCTTCCCTTCACATAACTAGATATTTCGTCCATTGCAGCTACATTACTCAATTTTATGCATCCGCTCCGTCACATTAGGTAGGTTTGTGTCCTTTCAAATATTTGCCGTGGAGATTTTCGAAGCTACCAGATAAATTGAACCAAGGTCGTGATCTTCCCTCCTAATGAAACCTTGAATACATCCTAAGAATAAAACACCAGGTGCAGCCAGAAAAATGCAAGCGAGGCAACATCTCTACCCAGTTTTTCATTTGAAACCTGGGCATCTTAGGCTGACGTCGCTGGTGATGCACCGAGCTGAATGCAGGCTTCCCTGCCAGATGCTTAACAACTCTCCCCTGCCCCTTGGTTTCTTTGGTTTCTTTGGCAGTTCCAGATGGGTGACGAAAACAGGGAGCTCCTCAAGCCCTGGGTGGACCCCCGTTTGTGGCTTGTGAGCTGCAGTTACCTTAGCACAGGCATGGCCAAACTTGGCCCTCCAGCGGTTTTGGGACTACAACTCCCATCACCTCTAGCTAACAGGACCAGTTGTCATGGATGATGGGAATTGTAGTCCCAAAACAGCTGGAGGGCCAAGTTTAGCCATGCCTGCTTTAACAGGTCACGGATTGTACAGGCCTGCTCTATCCAGTGCACCAGTGACATAGGCAGGGAGAACTTGGGACCAAACGCATCCCTCCAGGCCTCTCTGTTTGGACCTCGAGGTCTCGCCCCCTGCCACGCACCCCTACCTGGCCACAGCCACTCAGCAGCCTTGCTTCACACCTTCCTAATTTTCCTGGCCTCTGGCCTCGCCCACTGCTGGCATGTGGCCCCTGGAAAGTTGCCCAGAAGGCTCAAAAAGGTTCCCCATCTCTGGGTTACGTTTGTGAACATTAAGTCACTGTTATAATTGTTGACATAGGGATGCGGGTGGCACTGTGGGTTAAACCACAGAGCCTAGGGCTTGTCGATCAGAAGGTCGGCGGTTCGAATCCCCGTGACGGGGTGAGCTCCCGTTGCTCAGCCCTGCTCCTGCCAACCTAGCAGTTCGAAAGCACGTCCAAGTGCAAGTAGATAAATAGGTACCACTCCGGCGGGAAGGTAAACGGCGTTTCCATGCGCTGCTCTGGCTCGCCAGAAGTGGCTTAGTCATGCTGGCCACATGACCCAGAAGCTGTATGCTGGCTCCCTTGGCCAATAAAGCGAGATGAGTGCTGCAACTCCAGAGTCGTCCGTGACTGGACCTAATGGTCAGGGGTCCCTTTACCTTTACTATAATTGTTGGCATCTGTCTGTCTCAAGAGACAATGGAGTGTGCCTCCGGAGGTGAAGTCAGACCACTGTGTTAGCAGCACTGAAGTGACATTTTGGTGCCACCTGCCCTGCCAGCGGCGGAGCGTATGTCCACCCTGCCCGGGGTGAGCACGCAGAGTGTGCCCCCAAGGGGGGCAGGGCACAGAGGGTTAGGAGAGGGGCAGGGAACAGTTTCAGGTTAAGAACGGACCTCCAGAACGGATTAAGTTCTTAACCCAATGTACCACTGTAAAAACAAAACATGTTAAACCAAGGGTAGGGAATCTGAGGGACCAAATTGTTTGTAACTAGACTACAAACTCCCATCATCCCTGACTGAGGGGTGATGGAGTTCAGCCAAGTTCCCCACCAATGCATTCAATGTATACATGCATTTATTATATATATGAGACTCTTAATGTCAGGGATCTCCATTGCTGGGCAAAGGATTCCTGCACTGCATGGGGGTGGACTAGATGACTAGATTCTTAGAGGTTATTTATTTTTTATTTTTTAGCAGTGAGCCACCATGAGTCCCGTTTGGGAAAATGTGGCAAGTAAACAAAAACACCAGTCTCCTAGTTTGGCCCCAGGGGAGGGCATATCTTCATAATAAATGTACTGTTGCTTTCAGGTCCATGTTTAACTTATCATGGCTTGCCCCAAAGAATCCTGGGAATTGTTGTTTGGTGAGAATCCTAAGTATTAAAGGTTCCTAGCATGCACAAACACACTCACACATAGTCATTGATGTCTGTTGGTTATGGGGAAATCTGGGCTGAACACAAACAGAGGAAGATTATCAGGTGTGCAGGATGGAGAGTCAGGAACTGATTTAGAGCAGCCTGACTTGGTTGCAAGGCAGCAATCCCTTGCTTCTAGGTTATTCTACCCTGGAGGGGCTCCAGATCATTACACATTGCTGCTGTATATACTGTGCTCGCCTGCCAGGTAGCTTTGCAGGTGGGTGGATCTATATTCTGTATGCTGGGAAAAGCCGAGGTCTACGCTTGGAATACCTTAATAGCCGTCATTTATACTGCCCTACAGTATGTTATTTGGAGGTTTTACTTTCGGGAGAGAAATGTCCTAGCAAGGACGGCCGGACTGGATGACCTGATACAAAAGAGGACAAAGCTCTTTTTCTTCTTGGTTGTGCAAAAGCAGCAGTTTCAACAGGTGCAGCTCATCGTGTATCTCTGGGGAACATTACAGGGCTGCCAGCTTTCCTGGCAGCCTTGCCACCAATAGCCATCAGAGGTGCGTGCAGATTTTAGGAGCCAGTGTGGTGTAGTGGTTAAGAGCGGTGGACTTGTAATCTGGTGAACCGGGTTCGCTTCCCCGCTCCTCCACATGCAGCTGCTGGGTGACCTTGGGCCAGTCACACTTCTCTGAAGCCTCTCAGCCTCACTCACCTCACAGAGTGTTTGTTGTGGGGGAGGAAGGGAAAGGAGAATGTTAGCCGCTTGGAGACTCCTTCGGGTAGTGATAAAGTGGGATATCAAATCCAAACTCTTCTACTTCTTCTTCTTCTTCTTCTTCTTCTTCTTCTTCTTCTTCTAGGAGGCAGTGGCATTTATCCCCATGTTGCACTACTGCTGTCTGTGCATCAGGCTGAAGCCTCTGGGGGCAGGCTGGGCTGGTTATGCGCCCCCAAATCAGTTGGCACTTTTAGTGAGGAAAACTGTAACCTACAGCGTATTCTCCTCTTCCCCAGGTTCTCTGGCTTCCTTTCCATCTGATCTCATCCTTTTAGTGGGGGAACATAAGACCTGGGGTGGTATTCAGCTAACTTTTACTCACGGCCTAGGACCCTCGTACCTACGGGACCACTTCTCCCGGTATGCCCCACGGAGGACCTTAAGGTCCATAAATAGCAACACCCTAGAGGTCCCGGGCCCTAAGGAAGTTAGATTAGCCTCAACCAGAGCCAGAGCCTTCTCAACTCTGGCTCCGGCCTGGTGGAACGCCCTGTCTCATGAGACCAGGGCCCTGCAGGATCTGATTTCTTTCCGCAGGGCCTGTAAGAAAGAGTTGTTCCACCTGGCCTTTGGCTTGGAGTAAATTTGATTCCCTCCCCCTCTTTCTTTTTCCTTTCTCCTCCTGTGATGAGACTGCATTTTAATTGTTTTAATGTTTTAATGTTGTATTTTAATCTTGTTTTTAAGTTGTATTCATTCAACTCGTTTTTATTATTGGTTGTTAGCCGCCCTGAGCCCGGCCTTGGCTGGGGAAGGCGGGGTATGAATAAAATTTATTATTATTATTATTATTATTAGGGTGGGCCCACTAAAATGGCCAAGTTAGTCAGAGCCATTAATTTTAATAGGACTCCTCTGAGTAAAAGTTTTGACTGTAAGCCCTGGTTCCCACATGCAGCAGAAATGAGCTGGTATAGTCCTGAGGTGTCAGAGTGGACTGTACCACCATAGGATCTGCACAGGATTGTTGGGCCTAATGACTACAGTAACTCATCTCAGGCAGATCTTGCCCCCATGCTGAGACTGAAGGTCCCCTCCTCCTCCCAGTTGCCTCTCCCCTCCAATCCAGGGTTTCCCCCAAGCAATCTGAGACTGCGCCTGCATGACGTGAGTTTCTCCTCTGCCCTCTTCATGCCTCTCCTGGTTCTGGGAGATGAGGCGGGGAGGGGAGCTTGTTGCAACAGGATGGGGAGAGAGACACCTGTGACTCTTCGCTAGCCAGACTCATCTCTTGCCTCTTGGCAATCTCCCTTCTCTCCTGCTTCTGCCTCTGGTTCTGGACTCCTCCGTGCCATAGACTCCCCCTGCTCACTAAGCTGTGTTACCCCTCATCTTTTGACACCTCCTCCTCCCAGTCTTCACCCCCTTACTCCTCATCACCATCCCCCAACCAGTCTCCACCAGTCTCCTTCTTCCCTTGGGGGTTCCCCAGCTGGACCATTCCTCTGCGTCCAACCAGTCCCTGACATTACAGTGGCCAGCCAGAGGCCAATGGGAAGCAGCCAGAAGGACCAGGGTGCAGCAGCCACTGTGATTCCCCCAGCAACTGGCGTTCAGAGGCCTCCTTCCTCTGATAGAGGAGGTGGAACATCCTAGGCAATGGGCACTGCTTGGCCTCCAACGGAGCTCCTAATCAGGAAGGTTGAGGAAGCCTGAATGGTGATAACTGTTTTCCCCTCTTGGTATTGCACCAGGGCAGTAGAAGCCAGGCCTTACCTGCTGAACCTCGTCCTGTCATGTGGCCACTAACGCCACAGGAGCCTGTTTAGGGGTCAGCAGCCAGGAACAGTAATCAGAAGGCCGCACACGGCTGCCAGCAGCATGGCTGCCTGCCACGTTCTTGCATTCCTCCAGACTGCACTGCTTTTGTGCTTCCCCTCCGCCCCGGCCCTTGTGGCTTATTGCTTGCTTATTCCTCATTTGTTCAGCATCGGCTTTGACGCTTCGTTCTATGACAGCACCTCATCTTTAACACCGGAGGGGGAGAAGAGAAGCAGGGAGAGAATGAAAACAAAAGCACAGCATTTTGCTCCTGTGTCCTTGGTGGCTCAAGGCAAAGCAATCTTTCTCCAAATAAGTCTGCCTCTCCCCTTAATTGCTCCCTTCATGTCCTGGTGCTGCAGCTGACGCACAGATTCACTTCCAGGAACCGTGCTGCTTGCTTCTCTCTTTGCCTTTAAGCTGCCGGTCCCTGGGTCAATCACACTGCCTTTACTCATCCCCAGTGGGAAATGTGTGCCCCTCCAGATGTGGCTGGACTACAGCTCCCATAATCCCTTGCGGCTGGTGATGCATGCTGGGTCTGACCGGGTCACGCAGAACCCTGGTTTCTTAATCTCCACCATTTCTCCAAGCTGGACTGTCACATATCTCCTTCCTGTTCTATTAAAATGTGAAAGGGGTATTTAAGTTCCCACCTGAGATACTACCTGGCGCCCAGACCGTGGCTCTCATTGGTCAGAAAGAGCCATGGGTCTCTCGCTCTAGGAAAGGGGAGACAGCCTTTAAAAGGTGTGATGCTCTTGAAGCTTTAACTCTCTCTGTCATCATGAATGTTGTGTCTGCCTGAGATCTATGGGTATAGGACGGTATAGGTAAAGGTAAAGGGACCCCTGACCATTAGGTCCAGTCATGACCAACTCTGGGGTTGCGGCGCTCATCTTGCTTCATTGGCCGAGGGAGCCGGCGTACAGCTTCCGGGTCATGTGGCCAGCATGACTAAGCCGCCTCTGGCGAACCAGAGCAGCGCACGGAAACGCCGTTTACCTTCCCACCAGAGCGGTACCTATTTATCTACTTGCACTTTGATGTGCTTTCAAACTGCTAGGTTGGCAGGAGCAGGGACCAAGCAACGGGAGCTCACCCCATCGTGGGGATTCGAACCACCGACCTTCTAATTGACAAGTCCTAGGCTCTGTGGTTTAACCCACAGCGCCACCCACGTCACAAATTGAATAAATAAAATAAAATCATCATCAGGGACCTGGGTCAGATCTTCTAGACCAACTGGACAGAGGCTGGCCACTTTTGCTGCCTACTCACAAGTAGACATAGACCATTGTGTTGCTAGTAAGTAGCCTAGAAGTGAATAGGCTAGAGACTGGGAGGAGATACAATGGCCATTGTCAAGTATCTGAAGGGCCGTCTCATGGAGGATGAAGCAAGCTTGTTTTTTCCTCCAGAAACCCAAAACCAATGGCTTCAAGTTACAAGAAAGGAGGAAGTTCACACTAACCGCCAGGAAGATGCTGGACAGTAGAACAGACTCCCACGAGAGGTGGTGGATTATTCTTCTTTGGGGGTTTTTTAGGCAGAGGTTGCGTGGCGAGTTCCCGACCCCCCCAGGTGGAAATAATGACACATGACACAATTATTAAGGTTAATGGGCTAAAAAAGGCCACAACATTATTGGTTACAGGTGATGAGCGGTATTGGCTTAGGCAGTGGTCCTAACCGACTATATCCGACTCCAGCCCGTCCGCTTGAAGTCCAGGAAGGGTTAACCACCAGTAGGGGGAGTCCTGCTGATTCACATCAACTAGGAACTCCCCCAGGGTCACCGATAGGGGCCGTGCCTTAGGCCCTAACCTCCTTAGGCTTCAGACAGGGCCACGCCCCCCGGAATCCTTTAATGGACTACCCTTCAATATGTGGGGCAGGTGATGGCGCTACCTCCCCTCTTCCATCTACAGAACAATACCAGTGCCTAACTGCCAATACCCAGAAAGTTGTGACGATTTGCTACGAGGTAGGCGGAAACCAGGAACAGCTGGTGGGCGGCAAAGAGGGCAGGCCACGCCCCCGAGCCAGCCAATTGGCCGGCTAGGGAGTGACGCGGCCGGGAATCCCCCCAATTGCATGGGACTGGCCTCCACCTGCCTCCTTAGGCAGAAGTGGCTTTGTTTGGCCACCTGTCATGGATGATCTAGTTGAGATTCCTGCATTTCCAGGGGTTGGACCAGGTGACCCTCAGCATCCCTACAATTTTATGATTCTAAGTAGTCAGGTTTTGCAGTCACTGGGCTCTTTTTGCTTTGAAAGTTTCCGTTGGACCCAATTGCCCTCTTCCTAACATATCCCTAGTAAAGTTTTCCAATTAGACTTGTGGAGTAGGTGTGTGTGATTGCCACCCTCGGGATTCGAGAATCCCTAGGTGTCCACATCACTTTGGGGGTCTTAAGACCACAGCTACGGTGGGTAAAGCCAGGAATTAGCCTGTCCTTGGGGAGAAGCAGAGGGCTCTGTGTCAATTGCAAGGGGTTGACCGGAAGCAGGAGGTGTGCTCATCTGGGATCCCAGGATTTACCAATTCTTTGGATGTCCCCAGTTTCCCCGCTGCCACATGGTAAGACTCAGCTGGCAGCACTGCAGGGCTGTTGTACAGCAGTTGGGCAACAAAGGGGTGTGAGATATTCTTCTGAGTGGTCCCTCTTCCCCACAGATGGGGGTTAGAGTCCAGTGATAAACATCAGGAGAGATTCCAGTCTCCTGTATCCCTGCCGCTTGCCAGGGATTTGTTATCCAGCCCCCATTTGTTGTCTTATTTATTTCTGGGAAAGGGCCATAGGTCAGTGGTAGGGCATATGCTTTGCATGCCAAAGGTTCCAGGTTTAATCCCTGGCATCTCCGGGTAAGTTTGGAAATGCCTCCCCACCTTTCTGAAATCCTGGATAGCCTCTGCCACTCGTGGTCCCTTCCAACTCTATGATTATATGAAATGGATTGGTGGTTTGATTCAGGATAAAGCAGCTTCCTCTGTTAAGAACTTTCCTGTAAGGAATGCAAAGGGATGCCCATGGTTCTCACGCACCCTGCACTTACACTCACAACAACCCTGTGAGGTTGGAGCTGGCTTGGAGGTCGCCCAGTATGCTTCATAGGAATCCTATGCTTCATCAGCCAGATAGCTCAGTTGGTTAGAGCGTGGTGCTGATAACGCCAAGGTTGCAGGATCGATCCCTGTGAGGTACAGCTGCATACATTGGCTCCCAGTATGTTTCCCAGTATGTCCTAAGGGATCTTTACTGGCTCCCAGTATGTTTCCAAGCACAATTCAACGTCTTGGTGCTGACCTTTAAAGCCCTAAACGGCCTCGGCCCTGTATACCTGAAGGAGCTTCTCCACCCCCATCGTTCAGCCCAGACACTGAGGTCCAGCCCTGAGGGCCTTCGGAAGGTTCCTTCACTGTGAGAAGTACAGGGAACCAGGCAGAGGGCCTTCTTGGTAGTGGCGCCCGCCCTGTGGAACTCCCTCCCATCAGATGTCAAAGAGATAAACAACTACCTGACATTTAGAAGACATCTGAAGGCAGCCTTGTTCAGGGAAGTTTTTAATGTTTGATGTTTTATTGTGTTTTTAATATTGTGTTGGGAGCTGCCCAGAGTGGCTGGGGAAACCCAGCCAGATGGGTGGGGTATAAATTATTATTATTATTATTATTCCTGCATTGCAGACTGTTGGACTAAATGAATCTCAGGGTCCCTTCCAATTGTATAATTCCGTGATTCTAAGATCAACAGCCTGTGCACAAATAAAACGAAAGGGGTGGGGAGAGAAGATACCACTGCTATTAAATAAGCACTGTTTTTGATGGAGTTCATAGAATTGTAGAGTTGGAAGGGACCCTGAGGATCATCTAGTCCAACCCCCCCTGCAATGCAGGAATGTCCCATAGGGGGATCGAACCTGCGGCCTTGGCACGATCAGCACCACGCTGTACCCACCTGAGCTGTGTCCTGCTTGGCAGTGCTGGGCTCAAGCTAGCCAAGAAAGACCTGCTGTGGTTTTTGCTGAAGGAAGGTCACATCAGGGCACTCTCCAATCCAAGTACCCCCCCAGAGTCTTAGTGAGCTGGGCTCTTCCTCCCCATCACTTCCCATATTGTCCCCCCCCCCCCCGCCGCCTTTCCTCTGCCCTTTCTGCCAAACTGGGCTTTTAATCCTCGCCCTATTAGGACGGGGTTAAAATGCGTCACACAGAGGCTTTAGTCCTTTTTAATGACACATCTGTTAATTCGGCAGCCTGGCAACATCTGGAACCTAAAGTCACTTTCTCCCACGGAATGTCATTTCCCTACAGCTTAGTCCCTCTCCCTGAGCTCCTGTCGCCCACACACAGAACTCTCCCTTCCCTTCTTTTACCTCAGGAGATGGCTGGCCCTTTTGCCAGGATTGTAATTCCGGTGAAAAAGAGATTTCTTGGAGGGGGTGGGGTGGGAGAGAAGATTGACAGCGCAGGTTCAAAAACCTCTTTGAAATAAATTTTGCAATTAAATGTAAACGTTTCAGGATGCCTAACAAACAGAGACATGGGTTCTCCTGAGGTGTAAGGGCATGCGGTCTGAACATACAGGGAAAGGCACATTTGTGCTTGTGTGTGGGGTCGCCCCCGCCCCCCGCAAATGGCACTCATGCCCCCAGGCAAAAAACGGCTGCATCCCTTTGCTGTTTTCTGCTCGCTCTTTTGCCAAGGGAAAGGTGCGTGGAGAGTTCAAGAGAAGGTTTCTTCAGAGAACAAATCTCTGCGGTGTCGTTGTGATAATCTGCCCCTTCACAAATGTTCAGCTGGAGCAGAGATTTTGGAGGTGCAGAAATAAGCACACGTAGCATACTGAACCTGCCTTCAACAACTTCGTGCTCTCTTCAGGTGTTTGTGGACTACAGCTCCCATCACCCTCCAGCTGTCGCAGCTGGGGGCCAGCCGGCTTGGGTTGATGGGACTTGTAGTTCAAAACATTTGGGGAGAGCATGAAGCTGGCGAATGCTGTACTGGGTTTACATCACAATCCTTATCCAAAACAGTTCTGATCCCAAACAAATACAGGCTACTCTCAAGAAGTTTTAAATTAAATAAAAAAAGTTTTATTGCATTTTTATATTTTGCTGGAAGCCACCCAGAGTGGCTGGGGAAACCCAGCCAGATGGGTGGGGTATAAGTAATAAAATTATTAGCATTATTTTATATATATATATATATATATATATATATATATATATATATACACACACACACACACACACACACACACACACTCACACACACACACACACACATATATGATTTTTATTGGTTTTACATATAATCACATTACGTAACATCGTACCCTCTTATTTTATCTCTTTGGCTCCACTGAGCCTAATGACTTCCCTTCCTCCCTTCTGATGGTTTACAAAATTAAACTTTATATCTTTACAATTCACTTCGTTACTTATCCTTGTTATAGCATTACCTAAAATATTATATTACTCAACCTAAATAGGTCGCAATTTTATCCTACAAATCTTCAGATAACCCTGCTAATGATGGTAATTATTATTATTCCTAGGAGTTAGCTCTCCTTACACTCCAGACTGAGGCTAGCAGTATGATTCTATCCATGCCTACTCAGAAGTAAATCCTGTCACGTTTTCATGGAACTTACTCCCGTGGTGAATGCGTAAACCGACTCCCAAGTCAGTTTCAGGTATTTCGGTCCCATCTGCGCTAAACATTTTAAAGAGTATCATACCACTTTTAAAGTTGTGGCTCCACTCCCCCCCAAAAAATTTCCTAGGAACTGTAGTTTGTTAAGGGTGTTAAGAATTGTTAGGAGACCCCTAACACCTCAAGGTCTGCTTCTCCCCATATGAACCAATCCGGACTCTGTGCTCATAATCTGAAGCCCTTCTTCGTGTGCCTCCTCCACAAGAGGTCTGGAGGCTGGCAATACGAGAGCCGGGCCTTTTCTGTGGTGGCTCCTCGTTTGTGGAATCCTCTGCCCCGGGAGGTTCAGCTGGCATCTTGCTTTTATATGTTTAGGCACCAGGCGAAAAACGTTCTTCTTCCATCAGGCCTTTGTCTGATTAACATTCTATGGCCTTTTAAGTGTGTTTGTGAATGGGGGGGAGAGCTATAGTTTTGTTGTTTTTCTTTTAACTATTTATTTGTGTTTTTTATCTTGCATTTTTTTATCTTGGGAATGACTGCCCTGCGATCTTTTGACGAAATATATAAATCTAATTAATAAAGCAATTAATAAATATTGCCCTCACTGAGCTACAACTCCCGGAGATCCCTGGGAAGAGGGTTTGATTGTTAAACCACTCCAGGGAATTGTAGTTCTTTGAGGGGAATACAGTGGTACCTCAGGTTAAGAACTTAATTCGTTCTGGAGGTCCGCTCTTAACGTGAAACTGTTCTTAACCTGAGGTACCACTTTAGCTAATGGGGCCTCCCGCTGCCTCCGCGCGATTTCTGTTCTCATCCTGAGGTAAAGTTCTTAACCTGAGGTACTATTTCTGGGTTAGCGGAGTCTGCAACCTGAAGCGTCTGTAACCTGAAGCGTCTGTAACCCGAGGTACCACTGTAGCGAGGTCTCTCAGCAAACCCATAACAAACTGCAGCTCCCTGGATTCTCTGGGGAAAGCCATGATTGTTTTAAAGAGCTATGATACTGCTTTGAGTGCAGATGGGGACTTTGAAGGCAGGTGTGCTACTCTGCGATGGTATCGCAGGATTTCAGGGGATCTTGTGTAGACCATCCTTAGCGCCACATTCAGAGAGGACCAGGCTATCTGGTCCTCGCTGCTAGCCATGATGTCAGCGGGAGCATGTCTCTGCGCACCAGTCATCGGGAATCACAGGTGGAGAGAGTGGCTGTTGCGCCCGGGTCCTCCTGCTTGCGGACTTCCCACGCAGCCACCTTGTCGGCTGCTGTCAGAACAGGATGCTGGACTTCGGCCTGATCCATCAAGGCTTTCCTCATCCCCTTGTGTCCTCTGTCTCAAGGCAGGGAATCTTCCTTCGTTCCCTGCACTCTGTGCAGCTCCTCCTCCTCAGCTCCGGCCTCCTGCTGCGTTGCTCCAAACGCATCTCAGATGCTCCAAATTAGCAAAGTACCCCTTCCATCACGGGGATTGGTGCCTTGTCACGGAGAACCTCCCTGCTTCTAATTTGTGGTCCCCCATTGTTTGCGCCTGACTCATACAACGCAACCCCCTCCTATTAATTTGTTTTTGCCGAGGAAGGAAAAGATAAGCCCTCAGAGGGAGGTGCGCTGGCCTCCTTGTGGAGGGGACTCTGAGAGGGTGGCGGTGGTGTGAGGGGCAGGGAAGACAGCCGAGACTGAGCTTCTTCCCACACCAAAGCAGCCTTGAGAAACTCCGGCAGGAAAAGCCGCAGCCCACGGGGCCTGACACAGATAATCCTGTCCCTGCCTTTGCCTCCCAGGCCTTAAAGCCCACTGCCTCCTTCAAAACTTTTCTGGGACAACCTTTGCCTTTTGCTGGCCACCTCTCTGCTGCTTGGTGTGGGAGCTGGTGGGTGAATCTGCGTGGATGGGGCTACACGACTGCATGACAAGGACGGTCACCTTATGAAGTTGAGCTTGCTTTCTTCCTCCTCCCTCCCCCTCCTTTCTTCCTCCTGCGTGATTGTCAGCCACAGGGTGGAGATGGTCTTACGAGTGATTTCCGCAAGCTTGCTGTGGGAGAGCACCTTTCAGCTCAAGAGCAGGGATGTAGACTCAGGTTTCGGAGATAGGAAAGCCAGGCTCAGATAATAATAACAATTTATTATTTCTACCCCGCCCATCTGGCTGGGTTTCCCCAGCCACTCTGGGCGGCTTCCAACCGAATATTAAAAACAATACAGCGTCAGACATTAAAAACTTCCCTAAACTGCGCCGCCTTCAGTTGTCTTTTAAAAATAAAATAGTTGTTTATTGCCTTCACATCTGCTGGGAAGGCATTCCACAGGGCAGGTGCCACTACCAAGAAGGCCCTCTGCCTGGTTCCCTGTAACCTGGCTTCTCGCAGTGAGGGAAGGCCGTCAGAGCTGTACCTCAGTGTCCAGGCTGGATGATGGGGGTGGAGAGACTCCTTCAGGTATACTGGACCGTATCCTGACTGTACGTTCCCAATAAATAGAAGTCAATGCTATAGGAGTGGCACGCTTGGTTTTCACTTGCACCGAAAGGGGATTGAAGCGGGGCAAGTGATCAGGGCTGGGGTCAGCATCCAGCATTCTTGGACAGCTCCAGCAACGACGGAGCAAGGCCCATCATGGATGTCTCACCCGGCCCCACCTGCCCCCCAGCCCTCCAAGCAGTGAAACCAAAATGCTTGCTTACAAAGCTATTGTCCTGCCAACTTTACTCTACGTTTGTGAAACATGGACCACTTATAAACCCCATCTCCAGCTCCTCAAAAGATTCCATCCACGGTGTCTCTGAAAAACTTTACACATCACTTGGGAAGACAGGCAAACTAATACCAGTGTACTGGAAGAAGCAAAGATCACCAGTGTTGAAGCAATAATTCTTCAACATCAACGTCGTTGGGCTGGTCATGTTGTGCGGATGCCTGATTATTCCAAAGCAACTACTCTATTCCGAACTTAAAAACGGAAAGCGTAGTGCTGGTGGTCAACAAAAAAGCTTTAAAGACTGTCTCAAGGCAAATCTTTTAAAAAATGTAGTATAAACACCAACAATTGGGAAACACTGGCCTGCGAGCACTCCAGTTGGAGAACAGCCTTTACCAAAGTTGTCATGGGCATTGAAGACACTCAAACTCAGGACGCAAGGGGAAAACGTGCTAAGAGGAAGGCACGCTTGGCAAATCCACACCGTGATCAACTCCAGCCCAGAAACCAGTGTCCCCACTGTGGAAGGACGTGTGGATCCAGAATTGGCCTCCACAGTCACTTATGGACTCACTGTTAAAACCGTGTTTATGGAAGACAATCTTACTCGGCTACGAGTGATCGCCAAAGAAGAAGCGTGTGTTTTTTGCACGCATTGAACACATGACAAGCTACACCTGCTGAAATTCTCTCTTGTATATACCTGTTCGAGTTGCAGAAGCCCCTTTCTCTTTCCCCCCTCTGTCCACCCTACCTGTTACCTTTGTGGTGCCAGGTGAAGATCTTTTATCTGCTCTGTCCTTTGAGCTGTTGTTACCACAGGTTCGTTTTTAATTTTGCCGGCTTTGGGTGCATGTCGTTTAAACATAAAAAGTCTGCTTCTTCCTACGCCATCCTTTTCGAGGTTTCTTGTTATTGGCTGTTTTACGTGATTGTAAGCCCCTATTGTTTATTTATTTATTTAATTTGTATGCAAACACACACATCCCTTCATCTGCAGACCTCAGGGCGCTTCACAGCATAAACTATGAGAATGTAAATGTGTGTTCATTTTGTATGTTTATGTTGTGAACCACCCTGTGATCTTTGGATGAAGGGTGGTATACAAATTTAAATAGATCAATAAATAAATATTACACACACAAACATGCAATTGAATAATAATTATTAATAAATGCCATTTATTGGTCGCTTTATACCACTGTTTGGGTCTCCAGCTGTTTTTGGACTACAACTCCCATCATCCCTGACCACTGGTCCTGCCAGCTAGGGATGATGGGAGTTGTAGTCCCAAAACAGCTGGAGACCCGTGTTTGGCAAACCCTGCTTTATACAAAAGGAAAAGTCTCAAAATGGCTTGACAAGAAATAAAAATAATAATACATCTAGTTTGGGGGCTTTTTTTAAAAAAAGGATTCTTGCTGCATGTTCCACACAGTCCAGATTATTATTTTTTGTTTATTTCAAAATGCACATCAAAGCAACACTTTTCTTAGGACCAACTGGGAGGGCAGGGGGAAGCATTGTCAAACCATGAGCAAGCTTTCAGGATTAGCTAAGGCCCTCTTCGTTTTCACAGGGAGAATTTCACATGGCTGCTGTCTCTATGAGGTGGCCAGGTGCAGATGAGGACTCTGCGTTTTCCCAGCCATTGCCCACAGCTGCCCAAAGCCAACCGCGTGGTTAGCCCTGCGTTCATTAAGAGGCAGCTGCCGCCCTGTGTCACAGAAGGGACATCGGAGAGATCCGACTGTGGGCTGAGCAATGGTGCATCAAAGAAAAGAACCCTAAAGGGATGAAGGGGGAGGGGGGTTTCAGGCTGCGAATTTTCACCCTGTCATGGCTCCGCTGGCTTCGCTCAATCCTTGGAACAGACAGAGATACCTTGGGTTTGATCTCTCATCCCAGCACAGTCGGATTCTGGCCCCATCTGCATTCAAAGCAAAATCTTATCAGCCCTCCTGTGGCGCGATGGATCAGTGCGTCTGGATGTTAGCAGGAAGGTTGGTGGTTCAAGCCCACCCAGGGATGGCTTTGGGCAGGGTTCCTGCATTGCAGGGGGTTGGACTAGATGACCCTTGTGATCCCTTCCAACTCTATGATTCTGTGATACCCTTGGTTCTCAGTCCGTTCCAAAACCAAAGTGTTCTAAAACCAAGGCGTGCTTTCCCATAGAAAGTACACTGGTACCTCGGGTTACAGACGCTTCAGGTTACAGACTCCGCTAACCCAGAAATAGTACCTTGGGTTAAGAGCTTTGCTTCAGGATGAGAACAGAAATTGTGCTCTGGCAGCACGGCGGCAGCAGGAGGCCCCATTAGCTAAAGTGGTGCTTCAGGTTAAGAACCTTTTTAGGTTAAGAACAGACCTCCAGAACGAATTAAGTACTTAACCCGAGGTACCACTGTAATGCGAAATGGATTAATCCATTCCAGACTTTTAAAAACAACCCCTAAACAGCAATTTAACAGGAATTTTACTATCTAACGAGACCATTGATTCATAAAATGAAAGCAATAAACAATGTGCTGCAGTCACACAGTCAAGCAGTAGCTGAACTGGGCTCCACACAGTCACCAAAACAAAACAAAAAAGCTGCAAAAACGAAACAGCAAAATAAATAGCAAAAACAGACAGACTTCAGTATAACTCAAAACTGAAGTGTGGCACTCAAATTGTTTTTTTTTAAAATGATATTTATTGAGAATTTAAAATTACAAAGAAAGAAAGTAAGAAACAAGAAAAAAAGAAAAAGAAAAAAAAAGGTAGACATAAATAGCAATTGAACAATACAAGTCAATAAAAACCAAAGTCAAATAAAAAAACAAAACACACAATACATCAAAATCAAAAAACAAAAATAAACAAAAAATTTAAAAACAAATCCAATATTCCCAAATCCTTATCTTTCATTAACTTGTTTCATCGACCTCCTCGCACCTCCCTTTTTTGTATTCTAGTTATTAATTATCCCAGCAAATCCTTTCCATCTTTCACAATATTCTGTCATTAAATTACCTTAATCTATTTTAACCTTATCTTACCATAAAAACCCTAAAGCTTAAAACTTAAGTCTTATTTATACCTAATTCTTTTTAGCATAGCATATTCTTACATAGTTCTTTTTAACATTTCTACTAAAGCCAAATAATTTCATTCCAACATTTTTCTAATACTCATTAATTTTACAATGATTTTCTAAATGAATTTTTAAAACTTTCTTCCAATCTTCATCCATCGTCTCTTCTTCCTGGTCTCGGGTTTTGTCAGTCCTTTCTATCCCATCCATCTAGTCCATCAACCTGGTGACCTTCTATCCGAGGCTCTTAAGTCTTTTCCATGTCCCTTCCGCAGGTCTTCTTCATGTTTATACCTGTATTTTACTTTATCTTCTGCTGATCTTGTTCTTAATTTCCTTCCTTTCTCTCGGGGAGACTCCAACTTGACAATATCTTTGTCCCTTCTCGACAAGTCAGCCCATTCTCCATAGTCGACACTGAAATCCATATGATATTTAAAGGCATGTTTCAAAGTCCCTCCAAAGTTAAGGGCCCCCACAACTCCAAACTCCCCCTGGCCCAAAGCCAAATTCGAAAAGCCAAAACATCCCTGCATAGGGGGATATATCCAGCTTCCCATCTCCAAGCCAAACAGCACTCCATCTCTCCAAATCTGACTTTCTCCAGGTTCATTCGTCAAATCCAACAACTTATGTTCCTGCAGGGCCGCAGCTCTCTCCATTTCTGCTGCTTGAGGTTCAGCAACAACCTCCTCCTTTATCTTCTTCACCACTTGATCTGTCAAAGCACATTCCTGGATTAATTCCTGAGTGGGTTCTATATAGGTATTCACTGTTTGTCCAAAATTTCCGACTGCAACAGTCATCAAATCCATCTTCTCATGTAGCTGTTCCAGTAAAGCGCTTGTCTTGCAAAAAGCAAGCACTAAAGCTTCTTCTGGGCACATTCTTCTTCAAGGTTAAAGTCTGGTCCCACGATCTTTAATCTCTACAGCTGCAAAGTTCCCCAGATCGACTCTAGTAACAGTTTCACAAGCTCCCTCTAGGGGAAACAATTTCTATTTGTATCCGTCTTTTTAAAAGCAGATCTAGCAACAAAGTTCCTTTCCTTTTTCGGATATTTTGTTCCTTTTGAATGCAAAAGGGAACATTGGAATCAATATGTTTCTCTTTTTTAACTATCTGTCAAAAACGTTTTGTCCACAGTCAATGGACTTCCCCAAAGCGTCTGTCCTGACACCCCGCTCCCAGGTTCAAGACGGTGGAAATTTATCTTTCTTTACTCTCTCTTCTGCAGGTTTAAACAGTCTAAAAAGATTCCCCCCTCTTCTCCTGCCTCCAAGGGGGGTTTAGTAATTTTAACTGATGGAAATTTAATCCTTTACAAACGACTTTCCAGACTCTAGCTTGCAATGTCTTTGCTTCAATCTATTTACAAAAGCGGAAGGTGGACTTCCTGTTTAGACCTTCCCGCTTCGGTGCCAAATTAAGAAATTTCATAGTCCAATATTCCGTTCTACTCATGGGCAGTTGTTTAAAATCCAATTGTCCACAGGAAAAAGTCAGCGCTCTCCGGCAACAGCAATGCGGCTTCACTCCGTGAAAAGAGCTGTTGATTCAAAGCACCGCGCCATTCACCCCACGTTGCTCCGGATCCCGAAACCGGGTTTCCCCGCGAGTAGGGGAGGCGCGAAAGGTGCCAGCCGAATCCCACGTCCACAGGCTTCTCCCGCCTGTGGTTTTTGGTGGGTCTCCGCCTCGCCGCGGCGGTCCAGACCCTAATTCTCACGGAGCGGATTCCTCCCGATCAGAGGAAATCCGCCATTGCCAGAGGCGCTAACCCGGAAGTGTGGCACTCAAATTGGCAGCATAACATTCAAAATGGAAGTGTGGCACTCAAAACAGAGCATATTTGGCTTCCGAAAAACATTCTCAAACCAGAACACTTACTTCAGGGTTTGCAGTGTTTGGGTTCAAAGTTGTTTGAGTACCAAGGCGTTTGAGAACCAAGGCACCACTGTACTGTGATTCCGTGACCACTTTAAACAGTCATGGCTTCCCCCAAAGAATCCTGAGAATTGCAAGTGTGCTGTGAGTCGTTAGGAGACCCCCTATAACCAGGGGCAGACCTTTGTCATGTGCCCTGTGCAAGGCCAAAATTTGACGCTGCCCCCTCCCTCCAGCCTTCCCAAAGATGGAAGTGCTAGCTAGGCTTTGGGAAGTAAGCAGGAGGACTCTAGGACCCCGTTGGAGCCTCCACACCTCCTTCCCAAAGCCCAGCACTTACTAGGTAGGCACCCCATTGGCCCCTATGCCCACCTCTGCTATTATGATTTCAGGAGCCACAATTCCCAGAGTTCCCTATGAAGAGGATTCTGCTCTGGGAATTGTAACTCTGCAAGGGGAGCCAGAGGGTCTCATCGCAACTCTCAGCACCCTTAGGAAGCCAGTTACCTTAGTTATCAGGGTTATTTGGGGGAAGCTATGGCTGTTCAGGAGGGATGCGGGTGGCGCTGTGGGTTAAACCACAGAGCCTAGGACTTGCCGATCAGAAGGTCGGTGGTTCGAATCCCCGCGATAGGGTGAGCTCCCGTTGCTCAGTCCCTGCTCCTGCCCCCCCCAGCAGTTCGAAAGCACGTCCAAGTGCAAGTAGATAAATTGGTACCGCTCCGGCGGGAAGCTAAACGGTGTTTCTGTGCGCTGCTCTGGTTCGCCAGAAGCGGCTTAGTCATAGAATCATAGAATCATAGAGTTGGAAGAGACCACAAGGGCCATCAAGTCCAACCCCCTGCCAAGCAGGAAACACCATCAGAGCACTCCTGACATATGGTTGCCAAGCCTCTGCTTAAAGACCTCCAAAGAAGGAGACTCCACCACACTCCTTGGCAGCAAATTCCACTGTCGAACAGCTCTTACTGTCAGGAAGTTCTTCCTAATGTTTAGGTGGAATCTTCTTTCTTGTAGAAAGTCATGCTGGCCACATGACCCGGAAGCTGTATGCCGGCTCCCTCGACCAATAAAGCGAGATGAGTGCCGCAACCCCAGAGTCGGCCACAACTGGACCTAATGGTCAGGGGTCCCTTTACCTTTACCTATGGCTGTTCAGAGTGGCACAATAGCACCTTAATTGCATAATGTGGATGGGGCCCTTTTCTCAGAAGTAAACACCCGTTCATAGCCTCTCTCCCAGGTGTGGCCTGCCACGCGCCATTGAACTACAGCTCCCCCTATCCCTGGTCATTGGCCATTCTTGCTGGGGCTGATGGGAGTTGTAGTTCAGCAACATCCGGAAAGCTAAATGTTCCTGGTTTAGGTCTTCCTCCTTAAAGCAAGTTTCAACAAAGGTCAAAGAAGTTGTGCAGAACTCCAGCCAAAGAGAAAGGCAGATAGGAACAGTCAAGTATTGTGATGTTTTATCTCCCCTGTGGGGTTGTCACATCTGTTCTGGCAAAATACAGGGGAGGGGGCTTAGGAGCCAAATAACTTTTTCTTTCTTTTTTTTTTTCATTTAAAAAACACAAACCTTTTAAAAAATAGAAGGGGAAAAAGGAAAAAAACCAAAAAAAGACCCCGTATTTTCATGTCCTTATCTTTCATTTGCTTATTTCCTCGACTTCCTCACACCTCCTTTTTTGTATTCTAGTTCAATTAATTGTTCCAGCAAATCCTTTCCCTCTTTCTCAAATTTAATTCCATAATTTATCTTAACGCAATTTAACCTTAAGTTTTGCACCTTTACCCATTGTCAATCTATTCATACTTAATTCTTTATAACATTTCTGCTAAAGTCATATAACTTCTTTCCAGCATCCTTCTAACATTCATTAATTTTACAATATTTCTGTAAATATACTTTAAAATTTTTCCAATCTTCTTCCACCGACTCTTCTCCCTGGTCTCAGATTCTGCCAGTCCTTTCTGCCAGTTCCATGTAGTCCATCAGCTTCATCTGCCATTCTTCCCTGGTAGGTAGATCTTGTGTCTTCCAGTGCTTTGCGATAAGTATTCTTGCTGCTGTTGTTGCGTACATAAAAAAGGTTCTATCCTTCTTTGGCACCAATTGGCCTACCATGCCCAGGAGAAAGGCCTCTGGTTTCTTTAGAAAGGTATATTTAAATACCTTTTTCATTTCATTATAGATCATCTCCCAGAATGCCTTAATCTTTGGGCATGTCCACCAAAGGTGAAAGAATGTACCTTCAGTTTCATTACATTTCCAACATTTATTATTGGGCAAATGGTAAATTTTTGCAAGCTTGACTGGTGTTATGTACCACCTGTAAATCATTTTCATTAAATTCTCTTTTAAGGCATTACATGCCGTAAACTTCATACCAGTGGTCCATAACTGTTCCCAGTCAGCCATCATAATATTATGTCCAACATCTTGTGCCCATTTAATCATAGCAGATTTCACTGTTTCATCTTGAGTATTCCATTTCAGCAGCAAGTTATACATTCTTGACAAATTCTTAACTTTAGGGTCTAACAATTCTGTTTCCAATTTTGATTTTTCCACCTGGAAGCCTAATTTTTTGTCCAAATTATATGCCTCCATTATTTGATAGTAATGGAGCCAATCTCGCACTCTGTTTTTTAATTTTTCAAAGCTCTGCAATTTTAATCTGTCTCCCTCTTGTTCCAAGATTTCCCAATACTTCGGCCATTTAGCCTCCATATCGAGTTTTTTCTGAGCCTTTGCTTCCATTGGTGACAGCCATCTTGGGGTTTTGCTTTCTAGCAAATCCTTATATCTTACCCAAACATTAAACAGTGCTTTTCTAACAATATGGTTTTTAAACGCTTTATGTGCTTTAACCTTATCATACCACAAATATGCATGCCAACCAAATACATCATTGAAACCTTCCAAATCCAACACATCCGTATTTTCAAGAAGCATCCATTCTCTCAGCCAACAAAATGCGGCTGATTCATAGTAAAGTTTAAGGTCTGGCAGGGCAAATCCACCTCTTTCTTTAGCATCTGTTAATATTTTAAATTTTATACGAGGCTTCTTGCCCTGCCAGACAAATCTAGAGATATCTCTCTGCCACTTCTTGAAACAGTCCATCTTGTCCAAAATTTGCAATGTTTGAAACAAAAATAATATTCTTGGCAATACATTCATTTTAATCACAGCAATTCGACCTAGCAATGATAGCTTCAAATTTGACCATATTTCTAAATCCTTTTTCACTTCCGTCCAACATTTTTCATAGTTATCCTTAAATAAATTCACATTCTTAGCAGTCATGTTTACCCCTAAATATTTCACTTTCTTAACCAATGTCAATCCTGTCTCCTTCTGGAACTTTTCTCTCTCAATCTCATTTAGATTTTTCTCCAAAACTTTAGTTTTCGTCTTATTCAACTTAAAACCTGCTACCTGACCAAATTCTTGAATCAGTTCTAATACTCTTTTAGTGCTTGATTCTGGAGGAGCCAAATAACTTTTTCACCTAGTGCTGAAATGACTTCAAAGCAATCCTTTACAATACATGGCAGCCTAACTGGATAGCCCCTCTGGAATTTCTCTCTCTCTCTCTCTCTCTCTCTCACACACACACACACACACTTGTTGTTTAGTCGTGCCCGACTCTTCGTGACCCCTGGACCAGAGCACGCCAGGCACTCCTGTCTTCCACTGCCTCCCGCAGTTTGGTCAAACTCATGCTGGTAGCTTCGAGAACACTGTCCCGCCATCTCGTCCTCTGTCGTCCCCTTCTCCTTGTGCCCTCCATCTTTCCCAACATCAGGGTCTTTTCCAGGGAGTCTTCTCTTCTCATGAGGTGGCCAAAGTATTGGAGCCTCAGCTTCAGGATCTGTCCTTTCAGTGAGCACTCAGGGCTGATTCACACACACACACACACACACACACACACACTTGTAAATCTGTCTGTACTTTGTTACCCAGAGCTCAAATGTACGACATTTCACACATATGCAATACATACAGGCCAGGGCAATAAATAAATAAATAGGGGGTCTTATTCCTATGAGGGGGGCAAGCTTTATTCCACATCCGGCATTGGCAAACTCTGGCCCTTCAGATGTTTGAGACTACAATTCCCATCATCCCTAGCTAACAGGACCAGTGGTCAGGGATGATGGGAATTGTAGTCCCATACATCTGCAGGGACGGAGTTTGCCTATGCCTGTTCCACATGTTAGATGTTTGAAAGGTAGAGGAAACAATGGGGTAGGGCAAGCCTTCTCCCCCACCCTCCTCTCTCAAATACCATGTAGATAACTATGTTCAGAACTTCTAGGGGGCTTCTAGGCCACACTGACACAAACCCTCCTGTTCCTAGAGCCCCGAAACTTGTTGCTTTCTGTGGGGCTGAGCCTGGCACTCTGCATCCTGTATTGAATCAATGCAGCGTGTAGCATTCCACACTGAAATACGGGACGATCCCGTATTATACAAGACAGGTGGCAACCATACCTGTATACCTCTGAATATTTCTGAATGGGAGGGTGCTGTGGCATCTGTTTGCGGGCTTCCCACAGGCATCTGGTTGGCCACTGATACTGGATTCTGGATTTTGAAGGCCCATTAGCCTGATCCAGTAAGACTCTCCTTGTGGCACTGGTGATGAGCCTGTGGCCCTCAAAGATGTTTCCGGATTCCCATGCCAGCACTGACCATGAGGCCAGGAGACTGGAGCGCAATTGCAGGCAGAAACACCTGTTACCGGGGGGGAGGTTCATGTGAAAGTGGCCGTGCTGCCTGCAGGACATTCAGGTGTTCTCTTCTTCCAACTATACAGTGGTGCCCCGCAAGACGAATGCCTCGCAAGACGGAAAACCCGCTAGACGAAAGGGTTTTCCGTTTTGGAGGTGCTTCGCAAAACGAATTTCCTATGGGCTTGCTTCGCAAGACGAAAATGTCTTGCGAGTTCCTGCGGGGTTTTTTTTCCTTTCCCCCCCTTTTTCCCAAGCCGCTAAGCCGCTTAACAGCTGATCGCTAAGCCGCTTAACAGCTGATCCGCTAAGCCGCTTATCAGCTGATCCGCTAAGCCACTAAGCCGCTTATCAGCTGATCAGCTAAGCCCGCTAAGCCGCTAATAGCGCTAATCCGCTAAACCGCTAATGGGCTTGCTTCGCAAGACGAAAAAACCGCAAGACGAAGAGACTCGCGGAACGCATTCTTTTCGTCTTGCGAGGCACCACTGTACTTTGAACTTGGTGTGCTTTGGAGTCTTACATGTAACCTGTGATTTCACTTTCATTCCACCAAGGAGTTCAGGGTAGCGTACATGTCAGTATTCGTCAATGTTCTTTTTCTAAACAAAAGTTTTAATCATTGATGCATCTTCCGTTTCTGTGACTTCAAATGATATTATACTCATCAGCCAAGGTCTCAAACTATTGCTCTTGCTGAAAGCAAGGTGAAAGAGCAATGTCGTCCATCTTCCGAGGGTTGAAAAATCACCTGCTGAGAACTATTTTTGAAATTTGAGAACTATTTTTGATAACCAATGAGGAAAGGTGATCATTCTACATCTGGCATGTGAGAGGTTCATAGACCTTCACTGAAGAACCCGGATTATATTTGACTTCACTTTCTTCACGTTTGTATACATGTTGTTGATACATGGCTATTATGACAATCTTTCAGTTCCTGGATTCAACAAGCCGAAGTTTCTGAATTGTGCGGGTTTTGTGCAAGGTTGTATCTTCTAAGTTTTAGATTTTTGTACCTAAGGGAGGAACTCAATATGTTGTCGGTGCAAACAGACCAATCTCCCCTCGTAATTATCGTTAAGGGTTAAGCAGGAGTATTATTAAACCAAGAACTTTATTTAAACAAGCTTTCTTCAACTCCTAACTCTCTCTGATCCTCCTGCTCTTTGTCTATATACCATATTTTTTGCTCTATAAGACTCACTTTTTCTCTCCTAAAAAGTAAGGGGAAATGTGTGTGCATCTTATGGAGCGAATGCAGGCTGTGCAGCTATCACAGAAGCCAGAACAGCAAGAGGGATTGCTGCTTTCACTGCGCAGCGATCCCTTTTGCTGTTCTGGCTTCTGGGATTCAGAATAATTTTTTTCTTGTTTTCCTCCTCCAAAAACTAGGTGTGTCTTGTGGTCTGGTGCGTCTTATAGAGCGAAAATACGGCACTTTCTGGGCCGAATGACTTCTTGGTAGCTGTTCCCTTAACCTGTGTCTTCCCTCTCTGTGTCATTAAATTGAAACTTGAGATAGACTCCAATATGAAGCTGGCGAGAACTCCCAAAAGAAGGGCACCAATAGCCTGGCAGAACCACTGAAGCTGGAACTGGCTAGTCTAATAATAATAATATTATAATAATTTATTATTTATACCCCAGCCACTCTGGGTGGCTTCCAACCAAAGCTCTACAAGCAAAAGGCATAATTGCCCCAAGTAGATAATACTACAGCATAGATCAGCAGCCTAGTTATTCTCCTAACCCTCTTGCTTAGTTCCACATACAGTGGTACCTCGGGTTACAAACGCTTCAGGTTACATATGCTTCAAGTTACACACTCCACTAACCCAGAAATTCAGGTTAAGAACTTTGCTTCAGGATGAGAACAGGAATCATGCTCCGGTGGCGTGACGGCAGCAGGAAGCCCCATTAGCTAAAGTGGTGCTTCAGGTTAAGAACAGTTTCAGGTTAAGAACAGACCTCCAGAACAAATTAAGTACTTAACTCGAGGTACCACTGTACATTGATGCGCTCCCCACCATGCACTGTTCTGGGGGTTCTCCTGAACCCCCTCCCCCAAGCCAGTGTGATGAGAGAGGAGGGAAAGCTCCATGGTGCTAGCAGAAATCCCCGTGTGGGCTTCTCCTTAGCAGGACCCGTTAGTTGAATTTAGCCTCGTTTTTTAAGTCTTGCGTTTATGAGCAATTTAAATTCCGCTCTCGTCACATGCTTATATAAACATTGCAAATACATTTCTTCTTGTTTTGCAATGCAGCTGTTAAGTTGACTTTATAAGATGGTGAAAAATGCAATATATTTTTCATCTAAGCTTCCCCCCCCCCCTTTTTTTTTTGTTTACCTTGACCTTTGTGGTCTGTGTTCTTTGTTTCTGGTGCGCAGTCAATTATATTTTATCTCCGTTCTGGTTTGTTTTGGAGAAAGGAATTGTGCCCATCTGCCTGTGTGTGTCTGCCTGTGTGTGTGTGTGTGTGTGTGTGTGTGTGTGAGAGAGAGAGAGAGAGAGAGAGAGAGAGAGAGAATTGGGGAGAGAATGAAAGAGAAGACCTTTCATCTCACGCCCTCCACTCTCCATATCATATCATTAACCATTCCAGACATTCCTGAGCAGAGAGGTCTCCACCTGCAACAGGGACGCCTCAACCTTGGTGTATCAGGCAATTTGAATGCAAATGAATTTGGTCTTTTGGTGGGGAGGGGCAGCTTCAAGAGCGGAACAGAATCCTGAGAGAGACTGATAAGGGGTGGAAGGAAGGTGTGTGCCTTTGTAGGGGGTTAGGGATGAGTTAGGAATGACCAGGCAGTGGAGATTAACTAAAGAAGAGGGTTGCGTTGTGATCCTTCTCTCTTTCGCCCCTTTTGCTACGGATCTCTTCCTGAAGGCGATCCTGCATCTGTACACGGGGAGAGGAGGTTGACAATATGTTCCAGAATAAGAGCAGCCGTGCAGAGTATCCCAATAGCCTGCCTTTGCTCAGCATCTCTGCTTTATAGAGAGGAGCAGGGGTGTGTGGTTTTTTTTGGGGGGGGGCAGGAAGGGCATAATAGCTCAGTCATGGAGCATGTGGTTTGCATGCATAAAACCTCAGCTGGACTTCAGGTTGTAGCATAGTGCTCAGGAACCATTTCCAGCCTCCCTAAGTCTGAGGAGGGAGAAAGAGACTGCGTGATGGTCACCAGCCATGATAGTTACGCTCTGACTCTACAGTTGGGGGCAGCAATGCTTCTGAATAGGTAAAAGGTAAAGGACCCCTGGGCGGTTAAGTCCAGTCAAAGGCGACTATGGGGTTGCGGTGCTCATCTCGCTTTGAGGCCGAGGGAGCCGGTGTTTGTCCACAGAGAGTTTTCCGGGTCATGTGGCCAGCAGGACTAAACCACTTCTGGCGCAACGGGACACCGTGGCAGAAACCAGAGCGCATGGAAACGCCGTTTACCTTCCCGCCACAGCGGTACCTATTTATCTACTCACACTGGCATGCCTTCTAACTGCTAGGGCAGGAGTCAAAAAACTTTTTCAGCAGGGGGCCGGTCCACTGTCCCTCAGACCTTGGTGGGGGGTTGAACTATATTTTTTTGGGGGGGAATGAATGAATTCCTGTGCCCCACAAATAACCTAGAGATTCATTTTAAATAAAAGCACACATTCTACTCATGTAAAAACACCAGGCAGGCCCCACAAATAACCCAAAAATGCATTTTAAATAAAAGGACACATTCTACTCATGTAAAAACACGCTGATTCCCGGACCATTTAGAAGGCGATTAGGCCAGATCTGGCCCCCGGGCCTTAGTTTGCCTACCCATGTGCTAGGGTGACAGGAGCTGGGACAGAGCAACGGGAGCTCACCCCGTTGCGTGGATTCGAACCGCCGACCTTCCTACCAGCAAGCCCAAGAGACTCAGTGGTTTAGACCACAGTGCCACCCGCGTCCCTGCTTCTGAATACCAGTTGCTGGAGGCCACAGGAGGGGAGTGTGTTCTTGCAGCCGAGAATCATGGGAGCTGTAGTTTGTTAAGGGTGCTGAGAGGGGAGACCCCACCCCAATTCCCCTCACAGAACTACGGTTCTCAAAGCGGCTTAAGAGTCAATCTCAGGAGCTCCAGGAATGATACCTCTGGGAGGGGAGGGAATAAAGACATTTTGGTGCCTGAGGTGACCCAAAATGGTGTCCCCCTCCCCACCAGGGAAGAAGGGGTGAGTGAAGATCTACATCAGGAACACAGGGAGAGGAAGGAATAAAAATCTGCATCAGGATCTGCTGCCCCTAGGAATCCTGCCACCCAAGGCTTTACTTTGCCTCATGTACAGGTCCTTTGCCAATAGTGCAGGGGTGTTCATTGGGGCTAATTCCAAAAGGCAGGGGCCACCACGCTGAAGGCCCTGACCCCTCGGTGGTCTTGAACACAGATACACCATGTCTATCAACACAGAATCCTGCCTCAAGGCCCACATTTTTCATCAAGGAGCCTTTTCACTAGTGTAAATCAATTAATAAATCACCCTTTCATACTGTAATTCTAGATGAGCAAGCACTGGCCCTCCCATATGTCATTGGACTCCCATCATCCCTGACCTTTGGCAATTCTGGCTGGAGCTGATGTGAGTTTCAAACACCTGGGGAGGCAGGGTTCCTAACTCTGTTCTACAACATCTAAAATCTACTTGCTAGTGTACAAAAATAAAACAGAAGACAATTCCTGCCCGCAGGCATATATAACCTAAATAAGGCAGGCAGACAAGGAGAGTTCTGGGAGGGCCAGTACGATTTTGAGCACAATTCAAAGTGTTAGTGCTGACCTTTAAAGCCCTAAAGGTCTTAGGGTGATATGATAGCCATGTTCAAATATGTAAAAGGATGTCACATAGAGGAGGGAGAAAGGTTGTTTTCTGCTGCTCCAGAGAAGCGGACACGGAGCAATGGATCCAAACTACAAGAAAGAAGATTCCACCTAAACATTAGGAAGAACTTCCTGACAGTAAGAGCTGTTCGACAGTGGAATTTGCTGCCAAGGAGTGTGGTGGAGTCTCCTTCTTTGGAGGTCTTTAAGCAGAGGCTTGACAACCATATGTCAGGAGTGCTCTGATGGTGTTTCCTGCTTGGCAGGGGGTTGGACTCGATGGCCCTTGTGGTCTCTTCCAACTCTATGATTCTATGATTCTATGATTCTAAACGACTTCGGCCCAGTATACCTGGAGGAGCGTCTCCACCCCCATCATTCAGCCCGGACACTGGGGTCCAGCTCTGAGGGTCTTCTGGCAGTTCCCTCACTGCGAAAAGTTACAGGCAGAGGGCCTTCTCGATGGTGGCGCCCACCCTGTGGAACGCTCTCCCATCAGATGTCAAGGAAATAAACAACTATCTGACTTTTAGAAGACATCTGAAAGCAGACCTGTTTAGGGAAGTTTTAAATGTTTGAAGTTTTATTGTGTTTTTAATATTCTGTTTAATAAATTAGTAGTAGTAGTAGTAGTAGTAGTAGTAGTAGCAATAATGATGATGATGATGATAGGGCAGGGACGGAATAGCATGATGGGACAGGAATAGCTTGTCATTTTACAGGTTGAACATTTTAAATGGCTCTTTACAAGAAAAAGGGAGAGAGAGAGCTTTGCTCTTCTTAACCTGGCAACCTTTCTGCATTAGGATTCAAACCCCAGATCCTCAGTTGCTGGATGCTGGTTTGTGTCCATAGTGCCAGGCTCTGTGGATGCTGTTGGTGAATTTTTAGCCACCCATATGCTCATTGAAGGAGTGGAAGGAGGTGAGGGGTGGGGGGGAGAGCCTTGAGGCCTCCAGGCACAACATCCCTCCATCTCCATGCTCCCCTCCTCTTTGAGCCCAGCTGCTGCCTCCCTCTCTCTGGCACCTAGGCCAAAAGCCAGGCAAGAGTTCCACATCGCTTCTGCTCTGCGTTTGTGTAAATGTCACTCCTTCCTGCAGGGAGCTGGGAGAGTGTTTTCCAGGACACAGCGCTGGCTACAGCCAACCAGAGACCTCAGCGTTCTCTCTCCCTCTCTCCCAGCACATCTCTCTCAATTCTCCCCAGTGAGAAAACCAAGCTTGAGAAAGAAGTGGGGGTGGATGGAATATAGGGAACCGGAAAGGATGGATGCGGATGGGGAAACGAACCCCCGTGACGCTTGCACACTGCTCTGGATTCTAAATTGGCTGCTGCCGCTGAAGAGAGAGAGAAAGAGGAGGGGGAGATCTATTTAGTCATTTGCACGCAGCGGAATGTGCTGAATCATCAAGAAGTCGAGCCAAAGGTGTCGCTGCATCTCTCACAACACCTCGCAGAGAGGAGGGCTGGTGGAAGGACACCTTTGACAGACGAACAGGCGGGTGGGGTGCCGTATCTGCTGAGTCCCTTTCTCTTGAAGGGGAGGAGGAGGAGAAGAAGCTTTGCCCGTGAAAGGAACTCACGTTTTTGTTTTGCCCAAATGTTCTCGGTTTGCCCGCTTCGCTTGAAGAGATGCTGATAATATACGACAGGCACCCCTGGTAGCAGGAGAGCAAGAGAAGATCCCTGCTTGCAGTATAGCCATCAACATCATCATGATTTTATTATTTATACCCCTCCCATCTGGCTGGGTTTCCCCAGCCACTCTGGGCGGCTTACAACATATCTAAAAACATAATAAAAATACCAATCCTTAAAAACTTCCCTAAACAGGGCTACCTTCAGATGTCTTCCAAAAGTCAGATAGTTGTTTATTTCCTTAACATCTGAAGGGAAGGCGTTCCACAGGGAGGGCGCTTAGTTCCCTGTAACTTCACTTCTCGCAGTGAGGGAACTGCCAGAAGGCCCTTGGAGTTGGACCTCAGTGTCCTGGCTGAACGATGGGGGTGGAGACGCTCCTTCAGGTATACTGGGTCAAGGCCGTTTAGGGGTTTAAAGGTCAGCATCAACACTTTGAATTGTGCTCCGAAAGATACTGGGAGCCAGTAAAGATCCTTTAGGATCAGTGTTATATGGTCCCAGCGGCCACTCCTGGTCACCAGTCTAGCTGCCGCATTCTGGATTAATTATGGTTTCTGAGTCACCTTCAAAGGTAGCCCCACGTAGAGCACATTGTAGTGGTCCAAGCGGGAGATAACCAGGGCATGCACCACTCTGACGAGACAGTCTATAGGGTCTCAGCCTGCGTACCAGATGGAGCTGGTAAACAGCCGCCCTGGACACAGAATTGACCTGCGCCTCCATGGACAGCTGTGAGTCCAAAATGACTCCCATCTGGTCTTTTAGGGGCATGGTTACCCCGTTCAGGACCAGGAAGTCCCCCACATCCACCCGCCCCCTGTTCCCCAAGAACAGTGATTCACCTGGGGAGCTTCTCCAATCACCACTGGTCACTGGCTGGGTTTCTACATGCCCCACCGATTTTAAAGGTGCAGGATGGGGCCCCGGAAAGGTGACGACAACCCTACACACATATATTGACTAGTGATAAGCAGGTGGCTTGTTTTAGTTTCCCTTTCCGTTGTTTCTTTCTTTTTATTTTCAGATCTTGAGCGTTCATAAATCTTGTTGATTTATAAGTCCTGGTGTCACAACAAGGCCAGCATGTAATGTTCAGCTGTAGCAGCACAGGCCTGGAACATACCGTCAGGACGGAATAGGAGGACTCTAAGAGCCTCTCTCCGGATAAGCCCTGAGATTGATATTATGGCTCAGCTGAGCTGCGCATAATACGATTAAGGAGATGAACTCGGGCGGTTGGTCCCAACAAGATCTCGGCACCTGCAGGGATGTGAGAAATGAGAAATGAAAGGGCAGAGGCTGGATTTTCGTAAGGGGGTGGGTGGGTGGGTTGGCGGTCTGGCTGTAGGTTGGGTTGGTTCGCTCTTAGCAGTTGGACTTAGGATAGGCATGTAGTTGCGGCTGGATTTCAGAGTCATCCACATCTGTAAAATGTAGCAAATCTGTCGGAGAACAGCTAAGTTAACAGAAGAGAAGGAAACGCTCTCTTCCCTTCTCCTAACCAAAATGTCCTTACAAAAATTTGAACGTGCTGTCTCCTGCTTTGAACATACACATTTATTTCACAACAGTGGATGCTGTACAACAGTGGACTTGGATGAAAGGGTATTGCTTCTCGTAGGCAACCTGTTTGTTGAGCATTCATCCCAATGGGTTTGTGGAAAATTCAAGCGATGTTAAGTCGCGGCAAGTGCCTTTCCACTCTTTTTAGTGTGTTTTCCACTCACTTCCCTTCAAACGTCCAACCTTTGAGAAAGAGGTTTTGTTACACTACACCTCCCAAGTCAGCTACCATTGCGCAACCTGAATTTGCCAGGATGCAATGGAATCACACCCCAAAATAGCAGCACTCTGGAAGTGCCCTAAAACAATCTAGCATTCATATTGGTTGGCTTGTTTAATTTATTATTATTATTATTATTATTATTATTTTGGTTTCTATGGTTTTGTTTGTTTGTTGCCTAAAAAGGATATTCTGTTTCTTAATGTCTGATGTTTTGTTGTGTTTTTATATTATTATTCTTTGGCGATCACTCGTAGCCGAGTAAGATTGTCTTCCATGAACATGGTCTTTACAGTGAGTCCATAAGTGACTGTGGAGGCCAATTCTGGATCCACACGTCCTTCCACAGTGGGGACATAGGTTTCCAGGTGGAAGTTGATCATGGTGTGGGTTTGCCAAGTGTGGCTTCTACTTAGCACGTTTCTCCCTTGCGTCCTGAGTTTGAGTGTCTTCAAAACCCATGACACCTTTGGTAAAGGCTGTTCTCCATTGGTGCACTCGCAGGCCAGTGTTTCCCACTTGTCGGTGTTTATACTACTTTTTTTAGATTTGCCTTGAGAGAGTCCTTGAACCTCTTTTGTTGACCACCAGCATTACGCTTAGCATTTTTAAGTTCGGAATAGAGTAGTTGTGTTTTTATATATGCCGCAAGCTGCCCAGAGTGGCTGGGGAAACCCAGCCAGGTGGGCGGGATAGAGCCATTTAGGTCGACTTAATTATTTTAAAAGGTGGAAAATACAGTGTCTTCTTTAGTTATAGGTTTTTAAGCCTCTCCCATCCTCTCGCACCCCAGCCTCCGCCTGAACCTCCTTAGCCGAGATTTTAAAAGAATTCCCCTCCTCCCATTGCTCTGTGTTGTACCTGAGAGTGTGTGTGTGAGTGTGTATGTATATATAAGCATCTTGTCAAGGTAAGAATAGCTAGGATGATGACTCACATTCCTGTCTGGTTCTAGCTAATGAGCATCCTTCCACACACCCAGTGCAGGTTTCATATGTCTCCAACCAGGCTTGTTCCTCCCTCCACATTCAGCCCAGGCAGAGGTCCCACAACTGACGTTGTGCTGCAAAAGCAGAGGGTGGTCTACAGAGGAAGGTGTATACACGACACCCCACACTGTATCAGCAGCACACAATCTGGTGAACGAGGCCTGAGCCTCTGGCGGAGTGGGGTGGTGATGGGGAACCTGCAGCCTCCTCTCTTCTTTATCCTCAACCCCGTGACGCAGTCTGACCGACTGCTGAAAATGAGTTGGAGTCAATCAAGCACCTCGATATGAGTGAACAAAAAGGAACTCTTTGGCTGCTGTCATGCCTCTGGCTGTAGGATCCCACACAGCGGAAACAGGCAAAGCAGATTATGCAGACAAAAGCGTGGTCCGGGAGACAGAATATTCTATACCTGCAGCATCACTTGATGGATGCCTATGCAAATCACCCCACCTTTTCTCTTGCAATCCACCAAGATCGGGGCTGCTGGTAGCAATCTGCAGAAGTAATTAAAAACTAAGCGCCCCTAAGCACACAGAGAGTGCATTTCCTTTGCAAATGAGTAACCGTGGTTTGTCGCCATACAAGAGGGTTTCTATGGGGAAAGTGGGGTCTGCTTCGAGCGTAGGTTCAGCTCCGGCTCCTTGTTCTTCAGAAATGAAGCAGCAATCTAAGGAAGGAGAATCTATCATGTCACCAGCCCCTTTCCCCTGGTGTTTAGTCTAAACATGCATTCCTATAGTTAAAAAGGATTTTCTTCTTGGGCTGGTCTTGGTTGTTAACGGGAAAATCCGAGGGCTCCCTTGGACAAAAACAAAGACACCAACCAGGATAACTTGGAGCAAAACAGCAGCCTGTAAGCTTGGCCTTTATTGAACTGTTGCAACAGGGTGCTCCCCTCACTTGCAGGAGAGAGGAAAGACCCAGAAAAAAATGGTGTGCAAGGTCTTATAAAGACTTTTGAAATTCCCATCCTGTAGATCAAGCCCACCCCCAGAAACATCATGCATACATCACAGAAAGGAGGGGTTGAGGGAGGAGTTGTGGTGGTAACCTGAGTGTCCTGTCACCTGGCTGGGTCCCCCTTTCCCCCTCTCCATGAGTACTTTCCAGGTGACAGAGGGGAGTTTGCAGTTTCCTGCCCCCAGAGGGAAGAGCTGATTATTGTCCTTTGTTCCAGTCCATGCCAAATCCACTCCCATATGCAAGTTCTTTGTGATCTTGATGGTCTTCTGTCTAGGACCATCAGGGTTGGCATAGCAACTGGGCAGGGCTCCTGTGTATGTGCTGGTATGCTCAAGGATTATGGCTGCCCTGTATCAAACCTTTCCCATTTTGTAGTCCTTCCTTCATGGAGTAAAATAAAAGTGGAACAGTGCAAATCCGATGTATGGTTGATTTTCTATGAATTTATAACAGAAGCGTAGCATATGTAGTGTGTGAGTGTGAGTGTATGTGAAGGTTGTACAAACTGAATGATTGGGGGGGGGTGTTTCCTGCTACAGGTGGAGAGGGTCAAAGCAACATCTCCTTTCCGGGACCCTTTAAAATATTAGGAGACTGTTGTCCTATCTCCTTTCAATATGTCCTGTTAAATAGCTTAATGCACCTATTTTAGTCTTCCGTCATACATTTTCCCACCAACGCTAAGGCTTTTATGTATATCCTACAGCACAACGACATCCAGAGAAGCTTAGCCTCTGTCTCAAAAAAAAGGTTTCTAGACCTTATGAATGTAAGGATAGAACCTGAAAACATGTGAGCAGTACCTGAGCCCTTGGATAGCAGCTGAGTAAGGCTTTCAGGGGTCAGAGGGCAGGATGTGAATTCTTTGCCAAGCTCCTGGCACTGCTGCCCCCCTGCCCCTTAGCATTGGGCAGAATAGACGCATGCATGCATGACAAACTTAAAAGTGCATAATATAGTAGTGCAAGCAGTCTCTGGTGCAGAATTTGGGTTATGTAAGCGAGCTTGAGAATTTGCATAGAATAAAGTATTGTTGTGAGAGTCGGAGGCTGAAGGGCTGGACTAGAGCCTGTCTTAAAAGTCCCTTGGCAAAGCTGCCAGGTCCCTCCTTCGTCGTGAAAACAACAGGCAAATGGTCCAAAAGGCCTCTATCTGTGCAACCCTTAGAACTGAGGAGGGTGACTTCCTTGCACCTGCATAGGAAACCAAGGGCTGATTTTGAGAAAGAGAGGAGCAGAGATCTGCCTCTGGGCTCTGTGAGTATCTTAGGACGCTACGTCGCCCTCCTGCTAGAGATCTGATGTGGAAGCCGTGAACTGCAGCTGCCTGTTCGGAGTGTTTCAGCTGCACCTCCACCTATGCGCAACCTGCATATTTGCAAACAAACACAAATGTCGCAAAATGCTGAAAAGGCCTCTAGTGACCTCCTTGTATGAAGGGAACCAAACCTGGGAAAGAGCCGAACCCCTTGGAACATGGTTTGTGGGGGAAGCCTACCTGTATATACCTGTTAGACGTCTTGCAGAGGTCCCGGCTCCTTTCCAGACTGCAAAGCAGAGCAATTGATTTCAGCCCTGTTGCGTTAACCACATGCCTCCCCCCCCCCATTTATTTCTTTGTTCCATCCAGCTCTCTGCCTGGTGCTGGGCTGCATGATATTCCCAGATGGCTGGGATTCAGAGACCGTCAGGGACATGTGTGGGGAGAAGACGGGCAAGTACTCGCTGGGCGACTGCTCCGTGCGCTGGGCTTACATCCTAGCCATCATTGGCATCTTGAATGCCCTCATCCTCTCCTTCCTGGCCTTTGTCCTCGGCAACCGGCAGAACGACCTGCTTCACGAGGAGCTCAAAACAGAGAACAAAGGTGAGTGTCGCTGCCCTCCCCGTGCCCCTCTGTGATGCAAGCTCTGAAGCAGATATTGGGAGTGCATAAGGTAGAGCTTTGGAAAGGAGGTGTGAGGGCTCTGACAAGGTCCCAGAGTCCTCCTGCCTCCTTCCCAAAGCATAGTTAGTGCTTCCCCAGCTTTTAGGAGGAGGTGGGAGGGTGACAAGCCAAAGTGCGGCCCACGAGTTGTGTGTAGAAGTACTCTTGCGGCCCACTTGCTATGAACAGTTGGGCAGCCCTTAGATAGAGGGAGCCTACCTTTCCTGGCGCTGTGGGTTAAACCACAGAGCTTAGGACTTGCCGATCAGAAGGTCGGCGGTTCGAATCCCTGCGACGGGGTGAGCTCACGTTGCTCGGTCCCTGCTCCTGCCCACCTAGCAGTTCAAAAGCACGTCAAAGTGTAAGTAGATAAATAGGTACCGCTCCGGCGGGAAGGTAAACGGTGTTTCCATGTGCTGCTCTGGTTCGCCAGAAGCGCCTTAGTCATGCTGGCCACATGACCTGGAAAAACTGCGGACAAATGCCAGCTCCTTGGCCTATAGAGCGAGATGAGTGCCACAACCCCAGAGTCGTTCAGGGGTCCCTTTACCTTTACCTTTCCTGAGAAATAACTTCTAGGTTCACCTTTATGCTCTGGTGAAGCACAGTCCAAAAAGGTGAGGAAGGGCAGAAACCTTCTCCATCCCTGGTCCAAGAAGGGCATCATCCTCACCCTGCCACATGACCAATCTCGCAAAAACCCAGTGCTCGCAAGGGTTCCCTATCCACCTAAACAGGCTGGCAGAAGTTGCCGCGTGTCGTTTTCTTTGCAAGTTTGCAAATTGATATCTAGCGTGGAATTCAGCATGCCGAGAATTTTGCTAATTTTTTTTTTTTTTGAAAATAATATTTATTACTTTCCCAACAATTTAAACACTACAAAAAAAAGAAAAGGAAAAAAAAGAAAAAAGAAAACAAAACAAACAACAACAAAAAATACAATACAATACAAGAACAACACATTAAACTAACAAAATAAAACAAAAACAGTTTAAAACACATCAAAGGATTTCAATATCTTATCTTTCATTCACTTATTTCAATGACCTCCTCACACCTCCCTTTTTGTATTCCACTTCTGTTAGTTGTTTCAGCAATTCCTTTCCATCTTCCTCTGCTTTCCATCCTTTAATTATCTTAACAGATTCTAACCTTATTTTTCCCTTTAATACTCTATTAATCTATTTATACTTAATTCCTTATAACATTTCTACTAAAGCCATATAACTTCATTCCAGCATTTTTCTAACATTCATTAATTTTACAGTATTTCTGTAAATAGTCTTTAAACTTTTTCCAGTCTTCTTCCACCGACTCTTCTCCCTGGTCTCGGATTCTGCCAGTCATTTCCGCCAATTCCATGTAGTCCATCAACTTCATCTGCCATTCTTCCCGGGTGGGTAGAATTTTGCTAATTTTCCTGCCTCCCATGGCTATAGATAATTTTAAAGACAGCCAGGGGCAGTTTGCGGAATCTCAAAAGCCAGCGGGGTGTCTGAAGAGAACCCACCCAATACACACTAGCAAGGGGGTGGGCTTCAGGTGTTGCACCCCTCATTATTTGCCCCTCCCCATAAGCAGAAGGAGACCTGCATGGAGGAAACCAGAGGCGTGTTTGTTTAGTATGTGTGATCTGTTCAGATCAGAGAACTGTGTTGCAGGTTTTTATTGGGTGCAGCGTGCATGCATATAGCATATTAAAGCTGTGCCCTCAATAAGTGAAATACGTCTTACACAAAACAGAAGCAGTTCATTATATATACCAAATTTAGGAAACCTTTGGCCCTCCAAATATTGCTGAGCCGCAGCAAATATGGCCAGTGTTCGGGGATGGTGGGAGCTGTAGTTCAGTGACATGTGGAGTATCAAAGGCTCCCCACACCTGATTATATACACCAGGGATAGGCAAACTCGGGCCTCCAAATGTTTTGGGACTACAACTCCCATCACCCCTGACCACTGGTCCTGTTAGCTAGGGATGATGGGAGTTGTAGTCCCAAAACATCTGGAGGGCCAAGTTTGCCTATGCCATACACACACACACACACACACACACACACACACACACACACTCTCTCCTTCATGATGAAGGCCAGACTAACTTTCATTTTCATCCAATACTGCTCCCACCCAAGGAAGTAGTTGCTGCAAGGGCTGGAAAGGCAAGAGAAGGTGCACCATTACGTTTACAAAAATGTGAAGCATGCATAAAATGCACACATTCCTGAAAATAACCTTTTAGAAATGCATTACGAGGCGAAAGTGCTTTTAAAAAATGTGTTCACGGTTATAAAATGCTGTACAAATGTCTGTATTAGGAGAAACCCCTGCTAAAATGCTTTTGAGTTTTCGTTGCAGTTGTACCTCGGTTGCCAAATGGGATCCGTTCCGGAAGTCCGTTCAACTTCCGAAAACGGTTTGACAACCAAGGAGTGCGGCTTCCGATCGGCTGCAGGAGCTTCTTGCACTCAATCGGAAGATGCATCGGACGTTCGGCTTCAAAGAACGTTTGCAAACCGGAACACTCACTTCCAGGTTTGCAGCGTTCAGGAGCCAAAACGTTCGAGTCGCAAGGCATTCGGGATCCAAGGTATAACTGTATTTGTATCAGTGCCGGATTTACATATATGCTAAACAAGCTATAACTTAGGGGCCCACTCTCTTGGAGGCCCCTCAAAAAATTAAAGGGGAAAAAACTGGATGTACATTTCCAAAATATAAGATAAAAAGCAAATTAAATAAAACCTACATACAGTGGTACCTCTGGATGCAAACGGGATCCATTCCGGAGCCCCGTTCGCATCCTGAAGCGAATGTAACACTCAACTGCATGTGCGCAGGTCACGTTTTGCCGTTTCCGCGCATGCGCGTGATGTCACTTTGAGCGTCTGTGCATGCGCGAGCAGCGAAACCCGGGAGTAACACGTTCCGTTACTTCCGGGTTGCCGCGGAGCGCAACCTGAAAATGCTCAACCTGAAGCGTATTCATCCCAAGGTATGACTGTACAGCCACAGTGGCAAATGGCTTTAGATACCTATTAGGTCCATAAATTACCATATAGCATATATTCAACTAAAAAAAAACCAGTGACAATTTGTTGTTGACAAAGGACAGCTGGACATATAAAGGGCCCCATTACCTTCAGTAGCTTGGGGCCTCATCAAACCTAAATGCGGCTCTGATTTATATATATAACAAACTGATGTGGAAATGTGAGATCTGAATTAAGACTAGAAAAAATTAAGAAACTGAGAGAAACTGAAATCGACGGACTTTCCCATCCCTATATACAGACTTAGGATCTCTCTCACACACAGAGACCATTTGTGCTCTTTAAATCAGCCTCCCAGCCCTCCACTTTTGGACCAAGGTGCATTCAAACTCCAGGGTTCTGCTGCTGCCACTCTGAGTCCTTTAGGCCATGGAGGGAAAACAGCGGCCACCTTCTGCTTCTGCTTCCCCTGGCCTTGCCGAGGCTTGGGTGGGAGCCAGGGAAACCGAAGGTGCCTAATTGGAAATGTAATTAATCATAATAAATCTCCTGGCCTCCGGGCTTGGTCCATCTGTTCGAATCAAGACAAGGCAGTCTCGCCAGCCAGAACCCAAGTGCTTGAGCAGCAGTCACTGCTGCTGGGAGGGAACCGCGAGCCAAGCAAATCCCTGCTTTTTGTCGATGCACAGAGAGAAAAACAAAATATTCCTTGTGCACACTTGTCCTGAGGTCAGTAGATCCTGCAGCAACCCACTCGTCTGCGGACCCTACAGTGACTGCCTCCGAAAACAATTACCTTCCCCAGGTCTTTTTCAAACAAGGGATGAATAAGTCACATTAACCCTTTCCCAACCCAAATTAAGCAGCCTTGTATCCTTTCCTTTGTTTGCTAGCTTTGCAGCAATTCCTTATTCCCGAGCATTTATCAGCAATAAGTCAGCGATAATTTGCAGAGCTGCTTCTCCTGCAGATCAAGTGGATTTTAAAGGCAGAGCTTGCAAGAGCTGGTTGGAAGAGTTGGCAGACTTTGTCCAACCTCACATGCCATGGGGCAAGGGAGAAAAGAAAAATAAATATTGCTGCTGCAGCAGCAACAGCGGCAGCAGCAGGAAGACAGGTGGTGTCCTTTCTGCTGTCCCTCTGCTTTTTTGTGTTTTTTTAAAAGGAATAGCTGCACACTTCTGTGCTGGAGTTGTAGAGCAAAATAAAGTCTCCACCGGAAAGTATTCCCCAATGAAAAATGAAATTAATCTTCAGTAATAAAACAAAAACAGAAAGCCGCAACACTGAAACACAAACTGCAGAATTGTTTAAAACAGAGTGGTAGTAGCAGCAGTAATAATAATAAACTGAAAATCCCATTGAACTTAATGGTGCCCGTTTCTGAACATTTATATCCCATGATTAGGCTGAAAGTCGCAGAGCATCAAGGGGTGCTTCTTGTGACATTTGCACCACCACACCCCACGAGGCAATCAGAGCAGCCAAGGAAGCTTTTGAGTGAAGAAATAAGTCTGCTAGGGAACCCCTGGAAGCCAGAGCTCAACCCTAACCTTCTCTTTTTATATTTTCAACAGATTTTGTTGGCACTGCGGTAAGTTCTTTGTGTCGGTGTGGCCTCGCGGCCTGGTCTGTGCTACACCTGTTAGTGGAGGCCTAGCCTAGTTCTGTCATGTCCCTGTCCACATATCTGTACTGTGTTAGGAGGAGACTACCCCACTTTTTGTCTTAAGAGAGTGAGAGTGAGAGTGCGAGAGTTGAGTGTACGGACACACATTGATGTTCCATGCTGTCTCACCCGTCTACCCCTCTCCTCTTTGTCTGGGGAAATGGGAGCTACAAGTAGGCAGATTTGCGGGCTCTTTGTGTTGCTGCAAGCCCATGTTCCCCTGACTATCTGTGCACATACAGTGCTCAGGATGTGAACCAGCCCAGGGGGGTCATGGCACTGCGTCACTGCAGTGTATAGCTCTCAACACTTCAAACTCAGACATCTCCAGTCATTGCAGCACCAACATCTGGTCTCACTATATACAGCTGTGAGATTAGGATCTAGGCACACCCCACATGGGCAGGTGGAAGATCGCAATGCCACTTCAACAACCCTCCCTGCCGTCTCTCACTCAGGGGAAACACCACCAAACCAAACTTCCCTTCTTCCAGGCTATCACCCTGGTCACAGGCCTGTCGCCTACAGTGCTGGGCCGACAATTCTGTATCCTGACTTGGCGGGGTGCCCCATATCTCCCTGAAGGAACAACCTAAAGGGAAAACACCCTTTGGTGTCTATCCTGCCTCACAGAGCAGAGCCCGTCCTTTAACTAAGGCAGGCTCTGGAGCACACACCCGGCAGGCTTATCTGCTACTAATATATAAGGAAGTTGGTGCCGTTTAAAAAAAATTGGTCATCAGATCATTTGCCCAGTCTCATACGCGGACAGAAATTAGATTCGGATGCAGATTGAGTGCACACATGCAGTCTTGCACACAGGCAAATGCTTCTTGTTCCTTCAACTGCATCACTTTGTTAGAGAACAGTTCAGAGTGACTTTAATTGAGGAAGTGGGGCTAAATTGACACCTTGATTATCAGGGCCTGGAATGGTCCATCAGCCTGGGGTTAAGACGAAGCATAGCAACTTGAGCTGAGGGCTTGGTGGGGATAAACATAACTCCTTTGTTAGCATTTGTGTACATCACAATTCTGTATAACAATTGAACTGAGTATTGGGGCACAGAACTAAACATTCTCAATTTCATTTAAAAAAAAAGATCACCACTAAGATTCTAGCCCAGGCTTCCTCAACCTCGGCCCTCCAGATGTTTTTGGCCTACGACTCCCATGATCCCTAGCTAGCAGGATCAGTGGTTAAGGATAATGGGAATTGTAGTCTCAAAACATCTGGAGGGCTGAGTTTGAGGAAGCCTGCTCTAGCCACTATGGCTGTGAAGATAAGCTTGAAAGTGCCTAGTGAAACTGACATCTTAGAAGCTTTTGGAGTGGGGAGGGCATCCAGGGACAACAGCCAGGGTCGCACAAACCTCCTAACCCCTCCATGCAAATGGCAGGAAATCTAGCAGCTGTCAAATCGCATAAGGTACTATCCACAGAATTCAGCATTCCTCGATGCAGGGTTTGGGCTTATGTTGGATGCAGAATTTTAGCTGTTCTCTCCACCGCTGCCACCACCGCCCGCCCCAAGCAAGAGTACATACAGCACTCCTATTGCCAGCTTTTGTGCAGTCTTGTTTATATTGGTGACGCTCTTGTGTTTTCTCCTCCGCAGAGGATATAATGTAGAAGAGGCAGGGGGGCCCTTCTCTCCTTGGTATCTGGATTGAACTCTCTCATCCTTCCTCCTCCCTCCCCGCCTCCCTCACTGCCTTTCCTTCGCTGCTGCCAATGGGGGGGAAACGTCCAACTCGAAGCCTCAGAATCTGCAGACCTCACCTGCGTGCCACTTCCGGAGACACGTCCATCCCTCATGATTTGCCAGCTTTGGCCTCTGCCCCCTCTGCTGATTGGCTGCCGATGGAGGAGAGTGTGACACCGGTACCCCTACCCTTACCCCAAACCTACCACATTGGGGGACGAGGCGATGCGCACACTCCGACCTGGTGTTTCAAGGAAGTGACGCCCCTGGGACTTTTTAACACGTTCTTTTCAAAGGGATCCCAGCCTTTCCGGGAAAAGCTTCCACGGCGTTTCCCAGTACCCTCTTTCCGAAGAACCAACCAAGAACTGGTGCCAAGACGCTACCGCTGCAACAGACTCTGCCAAGGCCACCTCCTTGCCAAGTCTCTCTCCATTTTTAACCTTTCAGCAACTTTGCCCGCCCTCCGGCCCACGGGGGGCCGCCCGGCGCCTGAGACTGGCCCATTTGATACTTTTACATGTAAATTTAAATTGTCTCTGAACAGGGTAAGGTGAGCCCGAATCCCCACCCCCGTTCCCTTTGGGGATTTCAGCCACCAGAAAACTTTTGCATTCTCCACTCATCCTGCCCAGGTAATGCAGCTGTACCACGAAGGGGGGACTGGGGTGGGGTGGGAGGATCTGGGTTGGCTAGCTGGCTTCTCTCTCCAGCCGCTGCCATGGGGTGCGACAACATCTCTGCCTGTAGGGTGACTCCTCTAAACACTGAATGTAACCCTTGGGCCTGGAGAACGAGCGGAGGAAGGGGGTCGCAGCAAAGGTGGGAAGCAAAACTTCCCTCTTGCTTGCCAGCAGGGTGGGCACCTTGCCAGTTGAGTTCCGAGGTCCGTGCCAAATAGCATTTTCCTCGAACCTGGTGTCTGCATGGGGTGGGGTCCATGCTTTACTTCCCTCGCTGGAACCAGTATTACAACACGGGAGGAGGGCGAGGCAAAGCAGGAAGTGGGTCAGAGCAGAATTCCAGCTCCCCTAACTCGGGATATAATCCCATAGGGCAGGAGGAATTTCTGGCTGCAGGAATTTGTGCCCAAACCCCACCCCCACCCCGCTATGGCATGGTATTCTGCGTTGTAATTGCGAGAGGCAAATGTCAGCAAACAACCTCACAACGCCCTCCCCACCAGAACTGTGATCCTCCATTCACGATCGCCCCTGCTCTTGGTGGCAGCTGAAGACTAGGGCAGAAATGGGTCTTCTTAGACGTTCGGACAACTGTGCCCCCACCCGCCGCCCCAACCATCCAGACAGCAGTGTAGCAGCTAATCCGTCCCCGCGGTTTGAGCTGAATAGAGAGGTAGTTCCACCGGTGCAGCTATTTTTGCCCTGTCCAGTGTAGCCATTGAAGAACTATAAAACACACGTCCATGCCTCTCGCTAGCTGAAGCGGAAGCAGGCTTCAGGGCAGAGCTAGGCCTCAAACCTACCAGGAAGAGGGACCTGCAGAGAGCAGGGGTGCCCGGGTGGCGACACGGACGGACGTGCCATTTCAGCCTGTGCAAAAGCGCCCCCTTCCTTTCACACAGCCCACCAGCAGCAGCTATTGACATTATAAGGAGCCTGTAGGACCGTGAAGCGAGCTTAGAGCAGCTTCACAAAGAACCAAGGGCCTGAAAAAGCAGAAAGAATCTGCTCTGGGCAGAGCCAGATTGGGTCAAGAGGAAGGCGAAAAGAAAAGGAGTCTGGATTTAAAAAAAAAATAATCAAAGAAAAAACCTAGAGGGAGGGCCTAAGAAAATCCAAACGGCATCCTGCGTAGTAGTAAAAAAGATAAAACAATTGACTATTTGCCTGCCCTGTAACGGTGCTCCCAAGATCTGTTGCTTGGGGAAGGCTGCATCACCTTGCCTAATGGTAGGGCCGGGCCTGAATTAGTGGCATGAAGGACCCGGTTGGAAACAAGCGAAAAGAGCATGTGGGAAAGGAGTGCATGGGCTCAAAAAGCTGGTGGGCCATAAAGGGCCAAGGATTGGGGGTGAGGAAAGAACAGCAGGAGGCCTGTGAATGGATCTCCAGCTATTTATAGCAACCAAGAAAGAAACCAGTTGGGACTGTGGCTCTAGTGGACGGCTAACTCTTTTCCCAATACTATTTTCCTGGTGACAATTCCTCCCTCCAAAGGTGTTTTTTGTCCCGCTGAGGGAAATTTACCTTTCCTATAGGTAAATTGCAGCTTTTGTGGGGGGGGTGTTGATATTCACCAGAAAAATGTCACTGGAGGAAAGGGTTAATCACCCCAGCACCCATGAGCCCAACTGGATGCGCCCCACCCAGCCGCTAAAAATTAAAATTAAAACAAAGAGTTTTAAACAAATCACTGTGGGAAACACGGTAAGAAACCGAGGGAAGATTCACCAGTGTGGGAGACGTAGCGCACGACGTAGCATGGCCATGTCACTATGTTTGCCAAATAATTAACACTTAAGAGGCCACTCAAACATTGCCAACACGGGAACCAAAAGGGTTGTGCGGTTACATCCTGTTATGCTCAAGTGCAATGATAACCAGCCATCAAGTATCGCGGTTTATGCAGAAGTGCCAAAGGAACTGGCTGGCTCACCCGAGGACATTTGACAAGCCTCTGTGGAGAGCAAACCTCCCTTCCATGACCTCAGAAAAGCCACAGCCAAATTATGAGGGGAGGAATGACATAAATATATATATATATGTGAGTTTAGCCCTTCAGAAGCCACTCTTTAAAGCGAAAGGCCTCAATGTAAACCGAACTCCGTGGAACTAACTTCTGAGTATCCACTGACACGATCGGCCTTTAAATCTCAGCTCTCTGCAACGTTAGGGAATCTCAGCAAGAGAAAGGGACAGAGCTAAACTAGATTAAAGGCTTGCCCAGCCATGTAGGCCCAGGCACATACACCCTTAATATTCTCAGCCCAACTTTCCCATCGGTCGTTCTAGGAAAGTCCAAAATATAATCGGTAAAGGTTATCTGGTAGCTTGGACCGAAGGAGCGGCGTTAGCCTGCAACTCCCCAAGCCACTAGGGTTCGTGAGCATACTGTCAGCCACCAGAGGACATTTACCCTACGTTGGGGGGCGGCAGGGAGGGCGAGATGTGCCCTTGCGCCCGTTACGTGACATGTGCGGGAAGAATGGGATCGATGGAAATGGCAAGATTGGTGGAGAAGGGAATACAGTAGCTGTAATATATATCTGTATTTTAGTACAAAAAAAAAGTTTGATACAGTGTTTCACAAAACCTTAAGCGGAAAACATAAAAATTCAAGATGGATTGGATCAGATCAGAACCCTGTCACGTCACTGGGGAGCAACTGATTTATTCGTTTTTTTGCCTTGGGATTTGGAGGTGGGGAGGAGGGGGATCTGACCACCCCCAGGCCTTTGCCAGTCGCAGACTACGGATTTGCAAGGAAACACTTAGGAATGTGTAAGAATGGTTTGATCAGAGCTAGTCCTGTAATGTCTTTGAAAGAGGCTAGCTGAGAAAATTTCACCATCACCACTCGGGCACTATACAAGGGTGAAACAATTGGTGCATGGGCAGGTTATATGAGTGTGTATAGCTCCCAGTTCACCATTTTTAATTTACATTTACCAGCTGTCGCCACTCAGCCAGATTTCAGCAGCAACACGCTCAATGGGAATCAATTAGCCACTTAATGAACTGGCTTCGTCACCATGCACAGAATTCTGCATGGATCCACTCAGCCTTTCTTGTCATGGCAGTTAGATTGTATGAATTGGCACTGAGGCAGGAACTGCAAGAAAAAGTATACATAAGGGTTTTCTTTGCATCTGTAGGTGTTAAGATCCTAACAAAATCATCATGATGAGTGAATAAGGGAAGGCTGTACATTAAAGGGAATCCTGGAGGTGCAGTACATCTGCCCACATGCTACACACTGTAGCTTTTAAAGATAAAATGATCAAGGATATTATGGAAGAATAAGCCTTGCTTATGAAGAATAGGCATGGCTTCTGCAGAGGGAAGTTTCTGCATCATCACCCTATTAGGATTATTTGAGATTGTCTATTGTTACATTGATTATAATAATAATTTGTTTTATTTATTTATTGCTAATACAGAACATCTCTAGGCTGCTTCCACATACAACTAAAAACAGCCATCAAGTTTCACAGTAAAATACGACACACATACATCTGACACAGCAGTAAACATGGTGATCACATTCCCTCAAATGCCTTAGGAGAAAAGGCATGTTTAATCTGGCACTAAAATAGTGTTAATGTGTCCAAACATCTGGGGCGAAGTTAACATTGTATTTTTGCACTCCCTAAATGTTTTTGACAAAGGCCCTCAGCAAAGGTTCTTGGAGCACACTTTGTCATTGTAGAATAAGAGGCCAGGCTCTCTTACAGATCAGTAACTTTAAAACACATCCATGACAGCTTAGTCATGATGGCTGTGTACTATGTCCCATATCAGAGATAGTATATCTCTGAATATCAGTTCATAGCTGTCAACCGTCCCTTATTTGGCGGGAAAGTCCCTTATCCCAGCACCGTGTCCCGCTGCTGTCCCTTATTGATGATGTCCCTTAAATTTCCCGGGTTTCAAAGGAAGCAGCTCCTCTCCCTCCCTCCCTGCCAGCCAGGGAGGAGGGAGGCTCCAACTGTGTTGCTTGGCTGCGTTGCTCACCCAGTAAGGAGTCTAAGAACGACTGGGGGGTGGAGCTTGCATGCCTTGTGCCGATCAAATCGGCTGCGTTGCCTGGGGACTCGCCTTTGCTCAGTGCTTCCCAGCGGAGAGGTGACAGTGGTTTTCCTTGCTGCATCCCCTTTGCTGGGTTGCTGCGCTGTGGGAACCACCGCTTGAGGCTTTATTTGGCTGCTGGCTGGGCTTTCTGCCTTTGGCTCGGAGGGGCTCAGAAGTTGAACATACCTATGCTAGGAAAATCCCATATTTTGGCTGCTGATCCCTTATTTTTGAGGCTGCTGGTCCCTTATTTTCAAATCTGTAAATTGACAGCTATGTATCCGTTATCGGAACCATGAGCAAGAGAGGATTATTGTACTCATGCCCTGCTTATGGGCTTTCCATAGACATCTGGTTGCTCCCTGTGAGAACAGGAAGTTGGACTAGATGGGCCTTTGGTCATTTCAAGTAGGCCTCTCTTTATATTCTTGCCAGTAATGTTTGAGGGGTGGGTGGGGAAATACCACATCTCCTGTCAGCCTGTCAATCAAAACCTCCGTCCATACTTTGTACATACTCCCAATGTCAGCAGTAGTCCTGTCGATTTATAAGCAGTGATGAAGTCTCCTCCTTTTCCAATGCAGGCGTAGGCTCCAGCAGCCAGTCTGTAGTAAGAGAGTTGGGCTTAGCTCAGCTTCTGCTGGGAACTCCTCACCCAGCCCAGAGGAGTCAGACCTGCCCCCCCCCAATGTTTATTTACATTGTTCATAAATGATCTGAAGTTACAGGCGAACAGAGAGGCAGCCAAGTTTGCAGGTACTGACAAATTATTCAGGATGGTGAAGGCAACTTGCTAAGAGCTCCTGGAAGATCTGGGTGGCCAGGCAATAAAACAGCACAACACGGGTCAATATAAAGCTCACCCAGAAATTATAGAAATTCTTTTCAGCTTTAATTCATGGATTTTTGAATTTATTCGGTAAATTAGTTAATCTGAATTAGTTTGTCCCAAGTGCTGAGTATAAGCCACACAGGGCGAGGCAAGGAGATAGGATATGCATGCCACTGATTCGGGGAGGTTGATGGTCTGGATGAGTAGACTTGCTTATAGATTTTTATTTTCCTGAAGGAAGGTAGTAGATAGGTGCATGTGAGAGAGAAGTGGCATGGGGAACACAGATCAGCATTGTAGAAGTGCCACTTCAGGTATCACAATTCAGTGTATTTGTCTCTTACCTTGCCTTGCCCCTTAACAACAACAACAACAAAAGATTGAGCTGCAGGTTGGAGAATTCTTGCCCTCACTCAAGTGTCACTGAGATTAGTCCTTGCTCAAGGGAGACATTACTTACGAGGTATTTTGCACCTCTCCTCTCTCTTCCTCTTTGGTTGAAAATAGCTGTTCAAAACCTGAAGGAGAGATTTGTGCCTTGAAAAATACATACCAAATTTCATTCCTGTATCTCAGGCTTTAAGGGAGGCATCACAATGTGACAAAGAACGCCAAACAGGCATGTTAAACCAAAGGGCTCTCATTGCACTGAGCCTTTGACAGAAACTTCAGACTGAAAAATCAGATGAAACCATAAATGTTCGCTTCCCTTGGCTTGGAGCAGAATTGGAGCTACACCTTCCACACCCAGGTAGGTGCTTGGTGAATGCCAGCGAATGGCCAGTTATCTGCTGTCTTGGGAGGAAATCTGAAGAGCTCACCACTGTGCAGTTGCAATCCCTCAGGGATTTTTATTTCACATTTATCCATCTGCCATTAAATTCACACAACTGCCATAATGGCATTCCAGTTCTGCTCTTGCAGTTCAATGCAGAAAAGCTAGTTGAGTCTTTGGTTCAAATTGTCCCATCAGCCGTGAAGAAACTAGTTGGACTCAGGCAGACCTCAGCTCCTAACTGCAAAATGGGTATAATACATACTTTATGGAGTTGTCGCAAGAATGACTGAGAAGGCATTGCAAAGAAGCATGGACGCACAGTTGTAAGCCTTGTCATTGAAACAGCACACATTTATTTATACATCCTCCACTCTCGTTGACCTGGTTCCATACAATGCAAACCTATCCTGAGATTCCCCCATTTGGTGTTAAGTGAGCAAACGGAAAACGTAAATTTTATTTTTTTTAAAAAATACTATCATAAGCAAGCAGCACAAAAGCAAGCAGCAAATCGCTAGTATCCCAAACCACACAATATAACCAACCAAGAATATTATTGAAAGCCCTACTACAGAGAAGAGTCTCTTTCAATAACTCCAGGGTCCATCGCAACCACAAGCGGTGTCACTGTCTTTTTCCAGCTGCATAAATGGACACAGCAAGGCCTCTTCTGATAAACTTTAGTGAGCACACATGGAGAGAACGGTTAATGTGAGTAAGGGAAGAACGGGTGGGGAAGTGGAATCACTGCCACTGCATGCTTTAATAGAGGTCTGGGGTACTTTTGGCCCCTTACCAGACGTTGCTGATCTAAAGATTCCCGCATTGCTGAGGGCTGGACCAGATGGTCATTTGGGTCCCTTCTAACCCTATAATTCTAACCGCCATCATCCTTGGCACCTGGCTGTGCCTGCTGAGACCAATGGGAGGGACTTGGGAGTTTGGCAATGTCAGGGGAGCTAACAGTTCCCCAAACCTCCTTTAGTATAAAATAAGGGCAGAGCAAGGCAGCTGCTTCAAATGGCAAGTGCTGGGGGGTGGGGGCAGGCCCAGAAAGCACCTTGTTGGGGGAAGAACAGAGCACTGCTCCCCTGCTACCCTCAGGGATAGTTGAAAAAGAAGAGTTTGGATTTGATATCCCGCTTTATCACTACCCTAAGGAGTCTCAAGGGACGCGGGTGGCGCTGTGGGTTAAACCACAGAGCCTAGGACTTGCCGATCAGAAGATCGGCAGTTCGAATCCCCGTGACGGGGTGAGCTCCCGTTGCTCAGTCCCTGCTCCTGCCAACCTAGCAGTTCAAAAGCACGTCAAAGTGCAAGTAGATAAATAGATACCGCTCCGGCGGGAAGGTAAACGGCGTTTCCGTGCGCTGCTCTGGTTCGCCAGAAGCGGCTTAGTCATGCTGGCCACATGACCCGGAAGTTGTACGCCGGCTCTCTTGGCCAATAAAGCGAGATGAGAGCCACAACCCCAGAGTCGTTCACGACTGGACCTTTAAGGAGTCTCAAAGCCGCCAACAATCTCCTTTCTCTTCCTCCTCCACAGCAAACACTCTGTGAGGTGAGTGGGCCTGAGAGACTTCAGAGAAGTGTGACTAGCCCAAGGTCACCCAGCAGCTGCATGTGGAGGAGCAGGAAAGCGAACCCGGTTCACCAGATTACGAGTCCACCGCTCTTAACCACTACACCACACTGGCTGCCGATAGTTAAACTATGGAACTCCCTCCCACAGGAGGCAGTGAGGGCAGCCGAGTCAGATGGCTTTAAAAGAGGATTAGACAAAATTCATGGAGGAGGAGGGCTATCAGGGTCTTTTCCAGGGAGTCTTCTCTTCTCATGAGGTGTCCAAAGTATTGGAGCCTCAGCTTCACGATCTGTCCTTCCAGTGAGCACTCAGGGCTGATTTCCTGAAGAATGGATAGGTTTGATCTTCTTGCAGTCCATGGGTCTCTCAAGAGTCTCCTTCAGCACCATAATTCAAAAGCATCAATTCTTCGGCGATCAGCCTTCTTTATGGTCCAGCTCTCACTTCCATACATCACTACTGGGAAAACCATGGCTTTAACTATACGGACCTTTGTTGGCAAGGTGATGTCTCTGCTTTTTAAGATACTGTCTAAGTTTGTCATCGCCTTTCTCCCAAGGAGCAGGCATCTTTTAATTTCGTGACTGCTGTCACCATCTGCAGAGTATGAGGACACTAGAATTAATGGGCGCTGCCTGTCATTGGCTCTAGCTCCATCTACTGTTGGCCTCCTGCCATACGCCCTACCAGTTCCAATGGACATCTGCCTCTACTGGCCTTCAAAATAGCACACACACACCACCCCTTTCTTCAGCTGTAGTCTGAAGTGTTGCAGCTCAGAACCCATTTCTGGAAAATATATTCACTGTGCTTTGGGCTCTTGAACTGGGCCAGCACAGGCAAGCTTTTTTAAAAAAAAAATATTTTTTTTATTTTTAATATCTGATACACACAATACAAAAATACACAAAATACAAGGATATAAAAGAGACACTTAACAAAAGACAACCACAAAAAATGATATAGATAAAATTACATTCCCCCCCAATTGGCTCCCCTCCACCACACCCCGATTTCTGTTTTTTATTATGTTAAATCCTTACATTGCATTTCTTATCTGAATTTCATATCTCATTTAAACATCATTCTTCTTATATATTCTACAGTCTTAATCTATACATATCAACATATTATTTTGTGAACAGTGTTTATATAATCTTCAAAGCATTTCCATTGTAATCTTAGCTTTTGATTTGACTGTGACCTTATGGCTGCTGTTAATTTTGCCAAATGTATATAGTGACTCATTTTACATATCCACTCCTCTTTGGAGGGAATCAATTCACTTTTCCATTTGCTGGCTAGTACTGTTCTGGCTGCCGCTGTAGCATAAAGGAAGATTATTTTCTTTTCTTGTGGAATATCTTTTCCCAAAAGACCCAACAGGTAGGCCTCGGGTTTCTTTTCTATGGGACTCCTTAACATCTTTTTTATTTCTTCATGTATAGTATCCACAGGCAACACAGCCTTGTCTGCAGTCCCTGGAAGGAAAAGGGCCAGGGCAGAGAGAAAAGGAGAACCCACTTGATTACCAAAAGCTCCCATGAGAGATTTCCCTCTGGTCCTATCTTTACAATGTGATCTGATCACAGAATGCAGTTCCTTGGATATACAGTGGTACCTCAGGTTACATACGCTTCAGGTTACAGACTCTGCTAACCCAGAAATAGTACCTTGGGTTAAGAACTTTGCTTCAGGATGAGAACAGAAATTGTGCTCTGGCGGCGCAGCAGCAGCAGGAGGCCCCATTAGCTAAAGTGGTACCTCAGGTTAAGAACAGTTTCAGGTTAAGAACGGACCTCTGGAACGAATTAAATACTTAACCTGAGGTACCACTGTATCCCCTTCTGCTCTAAGAAGGTGAAGGGGGAAACCCTATGTTTATTTTAGTTTTTTCAAATCAGCATCAATAATTCGCCCGGTTCATCTACCGAACACACGTCCTGTTCTCCTGCCTCTGCTCCCCACAGTGACTCATTGCTACACCTTGAGCTGGTGCCTACCTGCCTTTCTCCAGTCGTCTCCATGGCAACCTGGCCTGTGTAACTATGGAGACTGTTGATCACGATGCTGCCGGTGCCAAGGGCACACTGGTGGCAAGCGCTGGGGCAGCAGGTGTAGGTAGGAGAATATTCCGGGCATAGCTGTGTGATCAGGCTCTTTGCTCCCTCGCTGTGCGGCAAATGGGTAAAAATTAAGGTGTTTATGCGCTCCCGAATCAAGGGAGAGGATCCACTTAAACAGCAGTGGCAGCAAGGACCAAAGGCTGCATGTAGACTAAGCACTGGCAGGTGTGCACATTAAGAGCTCAGCTCCAGGACTGAGCAAGCACGCTCCACCACAAAATGTTGCAGTGCACCGTCCCCTCCTAACAGGAGAGCTCCTGGTTTTGAGTTCCAGCCAGCAGGCCAGAGTATTCTTTAGGAACACTCCGTTCCGTTCCTCACCCAGGTTTTTTTCCTGCAAACCTGAGGCTTACTCCCAAAGATGCCAGTAGCTCCTCCCAGTTTCTCAGCGGCTCAGTTTTGGTTCCAATTCTGTTGGGGCTCGACCACCTGAGTTCACTGTGAGAGGGAGTGGTGGGCTTGTGGATTATTAAACTGCAGCAAAGGCACTCAGCTGAGCAATAGCCGCAAGGTTGGAATGCACTTCTGCAACAGAACGCTAACCATGCAATGATCATACGCAGCTAAGTTTTCTAGATTTATTTCAGGGTATGGTTGCCATGTTATTATATTGTGTATTTTGTGCATTTTGTTGTAAAGCGCCCCATGATCTCTTAATGAAGGGCATTGTATAACTTTTAATAATAATTCCGCTAGTCCTGCAAGACATGGGGAAAGGTCGTAACTCAGCAGTAGGGCCTGGAGAAAATTATGGGCTTATACCAAATTTTATTGTTCTTATAGCAAGACTGCTGTATCAGTAGGTCTGCACCCCCCCCTTCTGATGTGCTAAAAAAAACCCAACTTCTAGCCCCAATGGTTTCGATACTGCGCAATGAAGCTGCCGCGCATTCAATGCAACCCAGCACTCTGCACGCAGAGCAAGGAGACCCTGCCTAGAATTAATTATTTCCCCTCTTGTCCTCATCATCCTGGGGGGAAGGAGTCCAAGATGGATGCGAGTTTCGTAAAGGGGAAACACTGAAGGCACAAAGGCAGACAATTCCAACAAGAAAGAAACCTGAAGAAACTGGTGTGGCTGCATAAGGAGCTTGCAGATGCGCTGAGATGTATAAGAAATGGAAAAATGGGGAATCACAAAGAGCATACACAAGCAGCCAACATTTGCAGGGAGGAGGCCAAGTGGACCATATCTCAGAATAAGCTCAGGCTTGCAAGAGGTTAAAAATAATTTTAAAAGGTTTCTTTGGCTATGTTTAAAAGCAAGAGTACTAGGTCCCTTGCATGTAGAGGATGGAGAAATGCTATTGGGTGCCAGAGAAAAGGTGGAAATACTCAACACCTACTTTGCCTCTGTTTTCATCCAAAGGGAAAGCTATCACCCATCTGGTGATAACAGAATAAATGATGCAAGGATACTGCAGTCTAAGATGGTGAAAAAGGTGGTAAGGGAACACACAGCTACTTTAAACAAACTCAAATCTCCAGGGGCTGATGAGCTGCACCCAAGGTACCTACCGACCGGTGAGCTTGACATTGATAGCAGGAAAGGTCCTAGAACAGTCAGTCTGTGAGCACTTAGAAAAGGATGCTGTGATTACTAAGACCCAGTATGAACCAGGATTCAAGATGACCTTAACAGATTGGCCCAAACTAACAAAACGAATTTCAATAGGGACAAATGTCTGGTCCTGCACCTAGGCAGGAAGAACTAGCAGCACAAATATAAGATGGGGGGGCACCTGACTTGCAAGTAGTCTGTAGGAAAAGGACCTAAGGGTCTTAGTAGACCCACAAGCTTAACATGAGACAGCCGTGTGATGCAGCAGTAAAAAAAGGGTAGCCCAGAAAAAGTGATTCCCACCTCTGAGCCCTGAGGCAAAGGGGAGGGCTAGATTCCAGGAGGCAACCCATTTTTAACTGGGTCACCCTGCAGCTGCAAAGAGGGTGCCTGCTCATGTGCAGAGAGAATTGGACCTTAGTCATTGGGAATATAGCCCAACCATCAACCACAGCACCTTATTGTTCAGGATAATACTTTAGTTTAAAGACTGTGGATCTACCCATTCATATCATTAGTCCAATCAGCCATTGTCCTGGTAGAACATGTGAAAAAGGGAGCCAGTGTGGTGTAGTAGTTAGAGTACTGCATGAGGACCTGGGAGATCAAATCCCCCACTCAGCCCTGACACTCACTGGGTGCCCTTGGGCCAGCCGCTCACTCTCAGCCTAACCTACCTCATAGAGTTGTTGAGGATAAAAATATGAATGGAGAAAGAGGACCATATACATAACACTGAGCTCATTGGAGGTAAAGTGGGACATATACCATTTCCCAGTGATGGATATTCAGTATACTATATTCCACCATGCTTGGTATTCCATCCCACTGCGTAGGTTATGTGAGACAAACAGCTTTGAAGTCCAATCTTTGGGACCATTAGGTAAAGGGACCCCTGACCGTCTGGTGAACCAGAGCAGCACACGGAAACACCATTTACCTTCCCGCCAGAGTGGTACCTATTTATCTACTTGCACTTTGACGTGCTTTTGAACTGCTAGGTTGGCAGGAGCAGGGACCGAGCAATGGGAGCTCACCCCGTTGCGGGGATTCGAACCGCTGACCTTCTGATTGGCAAGCCCTTGGCTCAGTGGTTTAGACCACAGCGCCACTCGCGTACCTTGGGACCATTAGGTGTGGTAAAATTGGCTTCTCGGCTAGAACAAAAAGTTCAGTATAGCCCAGTACATGTAAAGCATTTCGAGTTTTGTGTATTGAATCTTCAGTTTACTTTTATAAATTCATGAGGTCAAGTGGCAACTCTGGGCATTTGAAAAACAAAAACGTACTGTTCTGGTATTGTTCCGAGTTCCAATTAAAGCAGCAGCAAACCTAATGTTAATTTTACAAACCTTCTGGCACCTTCTCAGCACTCACAAGTCCCAGAGGATGATGTCAGTTGCTTGTCAATACCACGAAATGTTTCCCCAAGAGATTTCACAGGTTGCCACACTATCTCCACACCTGTTCATCAGTAAGTTCCGAGACACCCCCTTCTCATTTGGTTTCAGTAAAAAGCTAAAGGTAAAGGACCCCTGGACAGTTAAGTCCAGTCAAAGGTGACTATGGAGTTGTGGTGCTCATCTTGCTCTCAGGCCAAGGGAGCCGGTGTTTGTCCACAGACAGCTTTCCGGGTCATGTGGCCAGCATGACTTCTGGTGCAACGGAACACAGTGATGGAAACCAGAGCACACAGAAACGCCATTTACCTTCCCGCCGGAGTGGTACCTATTTATCTACTCGCACTGGCATGCTTTCCAACTGCTAGGTTAGCAGAAGCTGGGACAGAGCAATGGGAGCTCACCCCGTCGCGGGGATTTGAACCACCGACCTTCTGATTGACAAGAGGCTCAGTGGTTTAGACCACAGCACCATCTGCATCTTAGTAGTGTCTAAGTCAGTGCTCTCCCCGTGTCTAAGCATGGTGGAGGCCATATTTATTTGGCTGCAAGTATTTTCATACCACACTTCAACCACAGCCCCAGAAAAAAGAACAAAAATGTGGAAAACATAATGAACTAAAAGCTACAAAATCATAAAAACAACACAGGAGTCAGCAAGATTAAAATGGTTATGTGAAAAAGCTTGAGACAGTTAAGGTAGGCGACAGGTGAATCTCTTGGGGGAGAGCATTCCATAATAAAAATATGCTTATAAAATTGATACACCTCAGCAGACGCAGCCTTTGGACAAGAAGTTATTCACTGGCAGACGACTTTCCCCACCTGATGGGATTTTAAAATAGCTTTAGTTAGTACAACCCACAATGACTGAGGTTCACCACCTCTAGAGAAGGACCGGTTGGTTCTTACCTGAATACAGTGGTACCTCGGGTTACAGACGCTTCAGGTTACAGACTCTGCTAACCCAAAAATAGTACCTCGGGTTAAGAACTTTGCTTCAGGATGAGAACAGAAATCGTGCTCTGGTGGCGCAGCGGTGGCAGCAGGCCCCATTAGCTAAAGTGGTAAAGGTAAAGGTAAAGGTACCCCTGCGAGTACGGGCCAGTCGTGTCCGACTCTGGGGTTGTGCGCCCATCTCACTTAAGAGGCCGGGGGCCAGCGCTGTCCGCAGACACTTCCGGGTCACGTGGCCAGTGTGACAAGCTGCACCTGGCGAGCCAGCACAGCACACGGAAACGCCGTTTACCTTCCCGCTAGTAAGCGGTCCCTATTTATCTACTTGCACCCGGGGGTGCTTTCGAACTGCTAGGTTGGCAGGCGCTGGGACCGAACGACGGGAGCTCACCCCGCCGGGGGGATTCGAACCGCCGACCTGACGATCGGCAAGTCCTAGGCGCTGAGGTTTTACCCACAGCGCCACCCGCGTCCCTAGCTAAAGTGGTACCTCAGGTTAAGAACAGTTTCAGGTTAAGAACGGACCTCCAGAACGAATTAAGTACTTAACCCGAGGTACCACTATAGTTGGTTGGTGGTTCTTACTGTTTTCAAGCATGATTTCCTCAAACAAGTTCAGATTTGTATTAGCCTCTTCCCGCAGCTTGGCGTTCAAGGTGACTGGGTTGATGGGGGCATCCCTG